GCTCTAGTGGCTCTCCACATAATTCTTCCACGAACCGTTGGTTGCCTGTAAAAAGTTGGATCAAAGAGGTTCACCACGCTTGAGGAGGGAGTCCACCTTAAAAAGTTTGTTTGCCTATTTGTATGAAATTTTTAACTTTCTCTAGATTCCCCAACCCCACGCTGCCAAGCAAGAACTATTCTTCTATCCTCTCATCTCCTTCCTGCTGAGCCTCCCTGCATAGATAGGGGTGAGCATTATCCGGTCAAAACCGAAAAATTGAACCAGAAACTTTGGTTTTGGTTTTTTTGGTTCGGTAATTTCGGTTTTTGGTTCATTCAGTTCGGTTATTTTGTTTTTTTGGTTAATTCGGTTCGGTTATTTCAGTTTCAGTTATGTTTTTTGAATTAGAAATTTGGTTAACAAAAAAAAAACTGAATTAACTGAACATTTCTATATAACATGTAATATATAATATATAATGTTAATATATAATATAATGAAATTTGATATATATATATATATATATATATATATATATATATATATATATATATATATATATGTAAAGAACACTGATGTGGACCCCACAGTATTCGTATGGCAGCAATATTTCTGTTAGATATGACAGTGTTAGTTGGTAGTTATTTCAACTTTATTATTAGTTATTTCTTATTCTATTTTCCATGTAAGCAATAAGGGCAATTCAGCCCTTTTACAGTTAGCCAATAGTTATAAATACTAAGAGAGGGTCGGCAGAAATTATGACCTACTCTCTCTCTCTTTTCTGAAACTCTCTTCGTGTACTTCTTTTCTTCCTCTCTTCTCTTCTTATTTTCAAATTTTCATCCTTTTTTCTTTTTAATTCAAGACTGATTGTAGTCTAGATCGACTACTTGGTATCAGAGCCGACCTAGGAGCTCTTATGCTAGTCTGATTAGGCCGACTRCATGAGAACCACCTAGGTTTGGAAGTTTTTCAACAAGGAAGGAGGATCGGCTAATTCTTGGAGGTTGTTGGTAGTGTGCGGCTGCTACTAAAGAGATTGTAGAAGTCTGGGAGAGTTCCAACAGCCAGGAGGAATCAGAAGAAGCTTCGGATCCTCAAGATTAGGGTTTTGCATCAACCAGAAGGTGGCGGCCAGAGATTTTTTCATAAAGTAAGCTTTTTCTTGTGATTCTATTCAGAAAAGATAATCTTGGTTTAGTCTGAGAGGTGCGACTTCAGAGTTTTTGTGTTTTCTTTAGGGTTTTGAGAGAAAACCCTAAAATTCAGAACTGCTATTTGTTTCAGATCAGAATTTGAACTGGTTTCGTTCAGAATTTTGTTTCCTGTGTTCTTTGGAAGAACTAGGCCGGCTGTTATAAGTTGTTTGGGTGCTGTTTCTCCTATTATAGTAATTAACAAGTTTTTCTTATTAGTTCTTGATCAAGAATGGAGTTCAAGAGTCAAGGGGAAGGTGTTTCTGGGACTAGCAATTCTGGTACAATGTTTGAGAATACCTTTCAGATTACAACATTTAAGTTTGATGGATCAAACTACCTAGAATGGGCTCAATCGACCATGATGGCCATTGGGGGTAGGGGAAAACTGAGCTACTTGTTGGGAGATGTGAAAGAACCAACTAAGGAGGACCAAACCTATACCAAATGGGTTCAGGGGAACTATTTGGTTATGACATGGCTGTGCAACTCTATGCAGCCACATATCAGTCGGAACTATTTGTGGGCGAAAACAGCTAAGGAAATCTAGGATGCCATGAAAGAGACCTATTCCCAACCCCTTAATGTTGCTAGGGCTTATGAACTGAAATGTGAGGTTAACAACCTTAAGCAAGGAGAGAAACCAGTCTTGGTTTACTTCTCTACACTGAAATCTTTGTGGCATGAAATTGACCACCTAGAAACACTTGAGTGGGAAAGCCAGAATGATGCATAGACTCATAGAAAGCAGGTTGAGACTAATAGGGTTTTTGAGTTCCTAGCTGGTCTGAATCCTAAGTATGATATTGTGAGACAACAACTACTGACAAGAGACAGTGTGACCCTATCACAAGTCTACTCCTTAGTGCACAGTGAAGAGACTAGGAGAAAGGTTATGATGCAGCATTAGTCCTTCCCATCAGCCTTGGCAGCAGTCAAACCTAAGTCCGGGGGTGATACGGAGAGGGATATAAAGAAGGAAGACAAACAAGATCTAGTATGTGAACATTGCAAGAAACCCAAGCATACTAAAGACACCTGTTGGAAGCTGCACCCTCATTTAGTCCTAGCAAAACTCTGAAACAAAAGGGGTAATGGTAATATGGCTGTTAATACTGATTGTGCCTCCTCATTGGACACAAAAGGCACACCCCTAGACACCCTAGCTGCTGTCTGGGCTGCCTTGACTCAGTTGGAAAAGGAAGTTGGCAATTCAGCTCAATCATCTCAGCCACCATCAGCTCCCACATCARCTTTTGCTCATTCAGGTACTCGGGCCTCAGCTTATCATGCTTCAGCTCCAGGTAACACTGAACATTGTTGGGTAATAGACTCAGGTGCATCTGACCATATGACTGGCTTGCCATCATTGTTCACTACCTATCACTTATCTTCTGGCAGAGATAAGGTGTCCATTGCTGATGGTTCCCTTGTTCCCATTTCTGGCAAGGGAGACATCAAGTTGTCTAATGCCATATCCTTATCTTCAGTTCTGCATGTTCCTAAGCATAATACTGATTTACTTTCAGTTAGTAGCATTATAAAACATCAGAATTGTTCAGTAACCTTTTTCCCTGACTGATGTGTTTTTTTAGGATTTGGAAACAAGGAAGGTGATTGGGCCTGGCCGTGAGACGAATGGGATCTATCTGCTTGGAGAGAGTTCACATTGGGAAGATAGTGAAGATAGGAAGTCTTTTGTTTCTCAGTCTGTTAGCCAGGTTATGCTTTGGCATAATCGGTTGGGTCATTTATCTTTTCGGTCTTTGAAGAGTTTGTTTCCTGATTTATTTGAGTCTGTTCAGATGTCCAATTTGAGATGTGAGAGTTGTGATCTTGCAAAGCATTGTAGAACATCTTATTCATTGAGTAATAAAAGAAGTAATAATCCTTTTGATATTGTGCATACCGATGTTTGGGGTCCTTATCACATCACTGCTATGGGGCGTACAAATATTTATTGTTGTTTGCTGATGATTATACCCGCTTTTCTTGGGTTTACCTTATGCATTCTCGAGATGAGGTTCCTACTTTGACCCAGATCTTTCATCAGATGATTTTAACCCAATTTGGGGTCAAAATCAAAATCTTCAGATCCGATAATGTGAAAGAATACTTTGCCAACCAATTAGCCTCCTATTTGCTTGACCATGGGATTATCGACCAAAGTACTTGTCCTCATACACCACAACAGAATGGGGTTGCTGAGAGGAAGAATAGGCACATATTGGAGGTGGCCAGAAGCATCATGTTTAACTCCAATGTGCCTATTCATTTCTGGGGAGATGCTATTTTTATAGCAGTGTATCTCATTAACCGAGTTCCTTCACAGGTTTTTGACATGAAGCCTCCATTTACCCTCCTATACCCTGATAAAGACTTGTTTACTGTTCCCCTTAAAACCTTTGGTTGTACTTGCTTTGTTCAGATTCTTGGACCTCATCGTTCTAATTTTGATCCTAAGGCCTCCAAATGTATTTTTCTCGGTTACGCACAAATTCAAAAGGGATATTGCTGCCAAGGGTGTTAGTATAAATGTACTCTTCAGCTTCAACTTACCCATCAACAGATCAGCAACCTTTCTCCACTCCACAATTGGCTTCTTGGCTTCAACCACCAGCACAGTATCTCAATGTTCTTTCCTGTAGTTAACCGTCAGAGTTGGATTGCTTTGACTGTGTGCCAGAGCGAAAAAACCTTGCTTAGGAACCTCATCATACTGATCAGGCTTGACTGATATTTCTTCTTCTTCAAGTGTCTCTCCTTTTCTTAAGTTCTTTTGATTTAGGAAGATCTTCAAAACTTCAGCAACCCCTTTCCATCCTTGGCTATTTTTTCCTTCAAGGAATCACACCATCTGTTTTATTCCTTAAGCAAAAAAGCTCTTAGAGAGCAATGAAGGACCCCTTGGCGTTCCTTTTACAGTCCTCCACATACCTTCTTCGTTCTTCCTGTACTTGTAGACCTTTCCTTGCAACTAACCTACTTCCCTTTAGTTGCTGCCTTAGACACAAAATCTCTCACCCATTCAAGCATCCATAAGCCTTCCACCAGTACTTTTGCCATCTTTCTTTTTTTCACCTCTAATGTAGTTGAATATAAATATAAAAATTGCTATAAAATAAACAAATTGTGCTCTTTAATGCATAAAATATTAGAAGTTATTTTAGTATGATAAACAGAGTTATAAACATAAAATAAAATAGAAAATAAAATTTAAAAAAACATAAGTCTCATATCAAAAGAATATATATGTAATAAAAAGAAAATATGTAAGTTGGCTATAAAATAAAATAAATTTTGTGTACCTACATACATAAAAATTTAAAAATAATATTTATACTTTGAGGCTTATGCCTCAAACCGCCTTGAGGCTTACACCTCGCCTCTTCAGCACCCAACACCTCACCTCCGCCTTTAGCCTTTTAAAATCTTGAATAGGACCAATCAACAGATGAACACTCCAACTCTTTCATAAAAAAGTTATAGCATTCCTTCCTTCCCATAACTCCATAAAGAATGAGATCATAGGTGGCAATATTAGCTTCCCATATCCAATACCACTAGAAAATCTATAACTGTGTAAAAGGACTTCACAGAGAAACAACCATCCAACCCTACTTTCCTAACTCTTGTATCCTGTCCAAGGCACAAAGAGGTTCTCTGAAGGCAAACTAAGAATTCAATTAGTAAATTTATTTCCCAATCTACTACATGATGCCAGAAGCAAGACGCCCAAATCATCTGCCCATTTGCTCTGCCATGAATAAATACTAATTAGAAATTTAAAATTATAGTAGAAATATAAAATTTGAGGAAACAAATCTGGAAAATCCGTGTTCCTCCCAATTTATTGAATGTGTCCTTTCTTACAATGAGTTTTTGGAATGTTTTTTTGCTGACCTAGCAGCATCATCAGTATACTACAGCAGTGTTGTACGAAGTGAATAGTGTTGCCTGTTGGCAGTTGGAATGGTGTCCCAAATATTAGCATGACTAATTTGACTAATTTGAGGTGTCCTTGTAATATCGGGAAACTAATATACTTTGAATTTATGCAGGGAATATGTGGACATGTGGACCTCATGCGTTTTGAAGATGGGATTGCCATTGTCTCTCTTGAATCAGCGTGTGTGATGCACTTTACACGAGTTAAGAATGAAACTAGCAACATTGGATATGATGGGAAAGAAGATACTCTTATGGTGAAGATCCCTGTTTATCTGACCCCAGGATCTCTGGTTATCATGCAGGGCGAAGCTCGCTACCTTTGGAAGCATGAGATAAACCGCAAGCCGGGGTTTCAGATCTGGGAAGGGCAAGAGATCTGTCAGAAGAAGAGAACGTCAATTACATTGAGGAAGCTCTGCCATGCCAAGTAAGCCTCTTTATGCGCCAAGTAGATGACATTTAGTGCATTGCTTGTATCAGTGTGTAAGCCTTAGGGTCTGGTTACAATATTGCTTTTCCCACCTTTTCTCTTCAAATATGTGTTTATTTTTGGCGGCTTGTTTTTACTCATAATGCTGGGTTCATGCAAATACAACTCAATTGAAAATAATTTTTTGGCTGAGGCTGATTACTCTACATGTTACATACATCAATGCACAGAAAAGCAAAGGTAAGAGAAAGAAAGGAAAAATTTCTCCTTCTACTGTCTTATGTGGATCATCAATCATGCGAATAGATCTTACATAACTTCGCTCTAAGGTGTGTCCTTTGGTCCATTTAGTTATTATTTATAAATTTATTTGAGCATAACCCAATGCACGAAATATGCGATGCTATGAGGATCCATAGCTCTTGACATGACTCATCTTCTGTTTCTGTACTTGCAGTAGTAGAGGGACTTGTCTCTTGTTAGAATACTGATGATTATTCCACCTTGCTGAAGTGTTTTACCTCGTAATCATAGCCATGTCTATTGTGAACCTATATAGTTCATTTTACCTCACTATCCAATGTATCCAGTCATCCAGTGATGATTTCACTGGGACACAAGAGTGTTCTATGAGGCCATCTGTATAATTTTCCGACTGTATGAAAGGATGCAATACATGCAAAATCAAATTGCTTGTATACCATATTCACGGTCTCCATCACCCATAATCAATCAAATTACTGCATCTTATTTAAAGTAGTGCTCAAAGTCCAATTGGTAGTTCCTCCTTACTGTTAGAATATGTGTGTGTTTGCCTAGGTGAGTGAGACCATATGACCGAGAAGGGTTGAGCGCAGGCAGATAAGTATGTGTAGCCAAAGGTTTTAGATGATCTGGCATAAGATGAAAAATTACTTCGATCTTCTATCAAGGTTTCAGTGCAATGGATCCCTGGGATGTGGCAAAATAGAAGGCATATATTTTAGCATAATCTTGAATTACTGTTGGAGTCTAATCTTGCTTTCCAGAAAATAGATCCGGATGACTTTCCTGAGGAGGTGGCAACTCAATATGTTTCTCTATGTGGCAAGTGCTGAAATAACTTCACACGTAGAAAACTGGAATGGGCAAAATATGCAGTAAATGCTGGGAGAAAAAGATTGTATTAAACAGATATGGAGACAAACTATCTGATATTTGTATTCTCTTGCAGGGGATGGTATTAAATTAATGAAAGCCAGAAACAGAAACAGGTTGAGCAGCATATATTTTTCCTTTAGTTAAGATAGTTTTTTATTACTTAGACCTGAGAGCAATGTTGTAAGACTCAACCGTTCACAAAACCAGAACAGGTTGTCAGGTCATGGGTCAAATGGTCTGACAGCAGGGTCAACCCAGTGACCTATATTTATAAAATATAAAAATATATCCATGTTATGACGTGTATAAGAAAATAAGTTGTGGTCAGATGGTGTGTGTATGTATACATATTTGAATCAATTTTCTAGATATACATATTTATTTGATGAATATCAATAAGTTAAAAAGACAAAAATAGACACAAATACCAATAAATTATAGTGTGTTAATCTATGCAAGGGAGAGAGATCACAGGTTCAAATCTCGTCATTTCCATTTTTATGATCTATAATAAACCAGCGTGACCTGGGTTGGTTGTTAAAACCCGGTTAGTTTTCAACAGTTCCTGGCCGGTTTTCAATGGTTCTCCTGGATTTTTGGCAGGGGAACTGTTTTTTCAGAAATTTGATTTGAAAAACTAGTGTTCCAAAAAACTGGAATGGCAACTGGTTTCTGGTTTTCATGGTCCGAACATCCAGTCTTGTCTGGTCGAAGTCTTACAGCATTGTCTGAGAGTTTGATCTAGTAGAGATGGATGGTCAGTATGTATTAAGTCTATGTTTAGGAGTGCTTCTGTTAAAAATAATTGCTTAAAAACAAGTACTTATTCAAGTAAGTACTTATTTGCATTTGGCACCCAACTTTTTTAAATGGTTATTTAAAAAAATAAGCGCTTATTTTATATTGGGTGTTTGGTAGTCTTTTTCTCCAATAAGCATTTGTGACCAATGTTTTAAAAAATGACCCGGAATTGGAACTGTTTTGGCCACCAGTTTCCAGGTTGACGGTTCGATTGTCCAGTTCGAATGAATGACTTGTTTTGACAAAAAAAAAATAATAATTAAAATAAAATGTCAAAAACCGTTGAATGGGTCAAATGAGTTAATGGTTTGACCGCCTGGGTCAATGGGTTGTTGATCGATTCAATGGTTTATTGTCAAGGATTGGGTTGGGGTAAAATTGAACCGGTTGCTTGGATGGTTCCTGGGCCGAACAATCCGACTGTTCAGGTCAATGGTGGTTTGAAAACCATGGTTGTGACTATTTTGCCCATTTTTTTTTTAAATTTTACAAAAGCACTTTTATGAAAGCATTTTTATAAAAGCACTTATAAAATTATTTTTACAAAAGCACTTTTACGAAAGTGCTTTAATAAACACTTTTACGAAAAAGTAATTTTATGAAAGCACTTTAATAAAAACATTTTTATGAAAGTATGTTTATAGAAGCATTTTTATGGAATTATTTTTATAAAAGCACTTTTATGGAAGTACTTTTATAAAATTCAATTAGATATAATTTTGGAAGAAAAAAATTGAATAAGTGCTTATTGTACAAGCACTTAAAAAAGTTAAAAATTTGAGTTTAAAAGTGAGTCATTATTTTTAAAATAAGCAATTATTTCGGATTTATTTTTCAAATATCAATAAGTACTTAATGGTGTGATCCCAACCCAAATAATCATTAGCACTCCAATTGAATATCAATTAGGTGTATGAGGCAGCCTCTACGTTCTCCACGTACAGAAGAGGAATGGGAATGTTAGTATTGTTTATTAGAAACCTTTTAAAACGATTTGGAGCTCAAATAAATGGGACAAGTCTTCGATGATGGATGATGATGAAATGGAGCTTGAAAAGAAATAAGGCAGAAATATAGTAAGACGACTTGGATTACATAACCTTGGTGTGGTTTTTGGCGGGCAAGCTGAGTTTATCCACTATTCTTTTTTGTTCCCTTTTCTATTGGAAATAGCCTTTCGAGCCATTTCATTGAAATAATGGAATTGTTGTAATATAGATTTTATATATCTATAGAATATAGAATGAAGAAAGACTTTATCAATCTTTACTTCATAGTAATTCTCCTCAGATGGCTGAATCTGTGATATGAGATTTTTAACAATAAAGTATATGTTTGGCATCGATGCTTGGTGCTGTTGATGTGTAGGTTGGAAGTACCGTTTTCTCAGAAAATGGTCTTTTTTTTGGTTTGAAAATGCTGCTGCCAGGTGACGTTTCTTGAAGCAACAACGACGTTTTCTATTCGGTACCAATGTTTCAGGAACCGTTTTCAGCACTGGTACCTATTATCCAGTGCTAAGGGTGATCATTTCAGCTCGGCTCGGCCCGAAAATTTCGGGCTTGGACCTGGGTTTTGTGTTCAGGCCCGAGCCCATATCAGACCCGAAAATAAACTTACACATTTTGTGTATAATGTATACATGTTATTTTACATTATATTATATATTTTATATATAAATTTAACATGACGTGTATAATTTATATTATATAATATATAAAATAAAAGTTTATATGCATGATATGTCATTTAATATAAAATATTATATATATGTAATGTTTTATATATAAAAGACATTGGCCCAGAATCGGGCCGGCCGGCCGGGCCCGGGCCTAAGCTATAGCCCGTATCATAAGTGAAAAGCCCCGGCCCGGCCCGGTCCATGATCACTCCTATCCAATGCCACGTCATGTCCCTATTGGTAGCAACGAGCTGCAGCTTCAGGAAACGCCAAATTCAGCGTTGCTCTAAGCCATGCCTTCTCGATTTCCAAGGTGTGGCTTGGAGTACCATTTTTCCATGAAAAATGGTTCCAAACAAACAAATGTTTCTTAGAGCACTATTTTTTCCGATATAACACTGATGTGTTGCCATTTTCTGGAATAGCGTGTTGATGCCAAACAGACACTAAAAATCAAGCAAGTATTCAGCGGTAGAGAGCTTTACCGTTCTTCTAGTTGAGTGGCCGTACTGCATAAACAATGCTGGAAAAATAAACAAAAAAGAAAGGTTTGCCTTTAGTGTATGATAGGGATAGTGGAGATTGGAGATCCTTAAATTATTAATATAAAATATTTATCTCTGCTCTTAACTCTTTAACTTTCTATAACAGTCTGGTTGTTGAGAAGGGATGGGATGGGAAAGGATGAGAAGAGAAGGAAAATTTTATTTTCTCATTTTGGCATTTTGATGTTTGATTGCTGAGAAGGGAAAATTATTGTTCATCGTCTTCCTTCGAACTCAAACCAGTGGTGTGGACGAGGTGAGTTCCAATCTCCCCCTCATTAGTAAAAGAAGAATGCCCAGAAAAAAAAATAACAAATAATAATATATTTATAAATTAATACTTCAACAGCATGTAGGAAGGGTTTGTCACCTTCAAAGTTGCAGAGGATACAAGGGCGAAGCAAGATCTGGGGTTGTTCTCATTGCCTCCGATCTTCACCCCAATGAGAAAACGTATAAAAATAAATTAAGAAAAAATTAAAAAGAATAATTGGGACCTGGTTTAACAAATCTGATGGAAGAGAAACATATCTCATGGGCAAAACTGATATGAGGGAAGAAAACTCTTACCTTGAAGCGGGTTTGAACCCAGAAAAAGGCATAAACACCTTGGCACGTTTTAACGGGAAAACAATGTTTTTTAGCTGACGAACGACTATGTTTGTTCAAGGTTCTACAAGCACAAGTATAGATCTGTAAAACATCTACCTCTATACCGCCGGAAACAATGGATTTTAGCTGACGAACAACCATGTTTTCCCGACGGCATGAGAAGATCGATGATGCCAAAAACGTGAAGAATATAGTCGCCTGAATTCTATAGTCATGAATCTGGTCTTATCTTGGCCGGATATCATCGGGAATGCTGTCGGAGACTTGATTGCTGTAGACGCAGGGAGACGGTGAGAAGATGGCTGCGGAGCTTCAGTCGAAAGTCTTGACAATTTTTTCTCACAACTTTCTCTTCTCACCGGGGTCGCACCATTTCAGCATGACCCCACATCCTTGGTTTTGAGAACCAACATCCCACGGTTTCCCATCCCATCACAGCGAACAAACACGTGAAAATTAAAATCTAATGAGAATATTCTCATTTTCCCATCCTAATCGCAGCAACCAAACGTACCATAAGATTAGCGCATCACTTCCGGGGGGAGGGTTGTCTCGGTCATGCATGGGAATGGGATTCGCTGTTTGAAATATGACATCACTTGTGTGTCGTGCTGTCTCTAATCCGCACTACACGCTAATGCCGTCTGTAATGCACATGGGCTCAAGAGTGAAGACGACAGGATCATGTTGATTTTTGGAACACGACGGCTGTTTTCTCACCCGAAAAGGGTTCGACTATGATATTGAAAAGATATGACATCTGAAAAACTTCTTACAAGTAGACTAAACTATAGTCAATCAGCAATCAAGTGTTATTTATCATGGGTGGATTTTGATTGATCAAAACTCTTTCTATACCATATCTTTTTCACATCATAAATTTTCCCTAAAAAATATATCTCTATTCTCTACTTTTCGCTTATAACACGGTATCCCCTTTGACTGACAATGAAATATTTCCCCCAACACTAACACTACAATAATTCTCATTAGGGCTGTTCATGAATAGATTAAATCGATCAAACCAATCAACCCAATCCAATTCGACCTGAATCGGGCCATGTGTAAATCAATCAAAACTGATCCGAGCCAACTATATTTTTTTTTCTGAGTGAAAACCTTCTTTCACATAAAACCATTTATATATTTTTTATAGGATTTTTATCTATTAAAAACATAGTGAAAAATTACTTCTGGGCTGTCTTTTAAACCGGTTGACAAAACCAATAAATTAACCCAAATCGATTCTTTACAGTAGGCTTAATTTTCACTAATATTGGACCAGTTTTGGATGACTAATTTATAATTTCAATTTGATTAGCCAAACAACTTGAAACCGAACAAAACCGACCCGACCCGTGAACACTCCCCCTTCTCTCGGTGATTTATTTTGGGGCCGGTGGCCAAATTAAGTCATCCGCATAAATAGAACATGGTTTCAACAGGTAGCATGCCGACCGAAAAATTTATGATTTAGAACACTGAGATCATCAAATTGGGGGTAAAAATAATTATAAGTAATGATAATGGTGATAACCATTGATTCAATTCCCATACCTACCATAACAAAAAATTAGCAACAAACATCAAATTGTACTATGATTTGATAACGAACAAAATCAGATGGGAAGCATCCCAACTCTAACCTGATCAACTAATGGCGCAGCAGCAGGTCGTCAAGAAGACGATACCTTGACAGCTTTGAATGCAGGATGAAGCAACCCAAGCTCATCCTTTACCTCAAGAGGATTGTCTGTCTCGTTTCGAGTCCTCTTGACCCTCCTGCTAGCCAAGGATTTGTGGGTGAACCCATAAATCTGTAGTATCTGATTGTCCCCGAAATTGAAAGCTCTGTCCATCTGCTTCAAGCATCTCTCCACTGGGTAATCCCCAAACTTCCCACATGGCTTGCAACCGACGAAATGGGTGACGAGAGGCCAACGGTGATCGCCGAGCCCCGGGTGGTAGTTCTCGATCATCTCCTCGTACCGATCGACCAGAATCCCCCAGTAGCCGTGTAAGTAGTAAGCGCTCTCGAGGTACACCTTGTCGCCCCACTTGTCTCTCTGTGTGACCAGAAGGTAAACCATGGCGGACTGATCATCAGCCTCGAAGACGGGTCGATCCTTGAGCTCCCTCGTGAGGATTTTCCCTGCCTCGGTCCTTATCTTTCCCTTGGGTCCCATTGGAGCCCAGGCATCCAGAATGTCTAGCGACCATTGACAGTTCCTGAGCAGAAAGCTACCAGTGTTCAGACCAATCCAGTTCTTTTGATCGTAGACCATCTCATTCCACCCGTGCATCACGAAATTGTGGTCTTTGTATCGCTGCCACGGGACCTCGAATGCCATGTCTGTGAACATGGCGTCACTGTCCATCCACCACAGGAATTCAACCTCCGGATGGGATAGCAGGAGCTTCCGAATGAGCGGAAGCTTCGCCCAGAACCCAGCCATCTCTGCGTCGAGGAGTGCCATGTTATAGAAGATCTCGATGCCGTGCAGCCGGCAGTAATCGATCTTGTTCTTGATTGATTTCACAAGGTAATGGTCACCGACTGGATTCTCACACGGTTTCGGGGAAGACCCGGTGACCAAGAGAACCCTAGGCTTGTTGGGGCCAATGAAATTCGGAAAATCAGGATTCTTCTCGAGCCAATTCGCTCGCTGCTCGTCCCAACCTGATATCTTCGGCCCAAGGCTATAAGGCTTGTTGGGATCGGGCTTTTCGTCTTCCTCCTCGTCAACCATCAGTTTGGATGGATCGAACGTGTTGTAGTTGTTGATATTCGTCGCATCCGTTGTCTGAGCTTCTTCAAGGACACGGCGAGGCTCGGCCCGCCTGCGGAAGTGGAGATGGTCTCGGATCTCATCGAAATCCTGCTCGGGAGTACCGGATTTTTCGGCACCAATGGTGCTGCGGAGAACGATAATAGTCACAAACAGGCAGAGGAGGGCAACCTTACCATGGCGAAGAGCTCTGTGGATCTGTCGAACAGGACGAGCCTCCAAGCAGCGTTCCAGCATCTTTGTTTTCGCTTAGATTTTCTTTCTTCTACTTGGCGTCACTCGATCAGATCAGAAATCCTAATTCTGAAACCCCAGATGGGTGGAAGATAGAGCTAGGATCTGAAGATGAGAGACTACAACCTTTGCTTCATGGGGAACTTGATAGATTCCCCTGCGATCTGTTCAAAAACATGAAAATCTGAAACTTGAAGGATTTATGGATTGGCTTTACTGGGTCTCAGTCTTTCTGTGTGCGTGTTTCGGGTGTGCCTATCCCACTCTCACAGAAGGGGCGAAGGTCGGTGGGTGGAGAAAGAAAGATTGCAGTTGCAGAGATGGGGGGAGAATGAAACAGAGGGAGCATTCAGACAAATTCCAGTGAGTTTGTTTTTCTTCATTTATATATATATAACGGGTTAGGGCCCCACCTCGTGTACTAGAACCCAGTTGTCCCATGGGAACACTTGGTGCAGTAGGACTGTAGGAGCTTACTGCTTACTAACAGGGTAATCATGGGTAGGACATCATAAATCATTGATCTCTTACTCTACTGCGATAACCATAACCTTTGCTTTTGCTTATGGTACGTTCTCACGTAAGAAGGGTATTTGCGTCTTTTCATCACTAACTTCATGCGAGTAGGAATGTAGGTGGATCACTCCTGATCTATAGCTATTAGCTAATGCATTTTGACTCGGAGGGAGTTCAGATTTTGCATTACCTCCAGCTTAGGGCCCCGTTTGGGAGGGCTTCAGCCTTCAACATTCATTGAGCTGTGCTGTCTCAGCTGCTTCGAAGCTTGAAGGACCTACCGAAATTAGCTTTATTGAAAAGTTGATTCTTTTTTTAGATCAATGTAAGTTTTCTTTTTGGTTTTATGGGTTTTCATCAAATATAGTTTCAATAGCTTTTAGTTTGATGCCTAACTTTACAGTGTTAGAAACCAAAATCCTCCCAAGATGTTTGGCATCGATGATGATTTTTTAAAAATCACAGCGTTAGAAGAATCAGCATATAAATTTCTGTTTGGTTAGTCGATTTTGATATTTTTAAGAAATTGGTCAAATATGATTGTTGAAGTCAGCCCTTTTCAGAGATTAACTTTCCTGATTACTAGCTGAATGACGTGGCACTGAATAATAACTCTAATCGATACTCAAAATTGATTTCTCAAAATTGACTTACATGACAGAAATGATAATATCAATTAACAAAATTTATCGATTTAAAAAAAAGGCACTGTGATTTTTGAAAAATTGATAAGAAAACATCAGCAATGATGTCAAACACCACCTTAATTTGCATTATTTGTCATTTCTAAAGAAAAAAAAAAAAAAGTTAATACATCAACGCCATGTAAATGTTTTGACCTTGCCTCACCAAAATCTTATTTAGTTGAGTTGATTTAGGTTGTGATTATTGGTGCCATCGCCATTTCCGTCTAAAACAATTGAAAGGAGCTTCCAGTTGTTCTATCCCACTGGTTGGTTGTCGGTGCCCCCGATACAATTGAAAGAGCACGTCACATGTTCATACCGACAAAAATAGAAGTTCACGCGGATGGTAAGCGTGTCAATTATTAGGATAGATTACATGGGGTTAAGGAGAAAAGTAGGAGACACACGATGCAGAATTCTGAATTCCAGCCCCCCGTGAATTTGGCATCAATTCACAAATCAGGATGCAGAATGCATTCCTCCGGTACTTTGGGCCTAATAAATTCTGAGCTGGGCTGATTTGTACTTCTCCCAATTTTTTATTGGGCAATTGACACCGGTGGATGTTCCTTCATGTCTTGTCGTTCATGATTGAGTTGATTCGCGACTCTCTGGCAAATGTAGTTCATGGCGCAGTTTTTTCGGCGAAGACAGTTACATTTTCTGGTAGTGGTTGTAATGTGTGGGGCTTTGCCGTGTTTTGTGGATTGGAGACCTCGGTTACAGTCTTTTTTTGAAATGTAATGTAATGGATTGGAGCTGTGCTTGTTTAGTTCTGTTGGTAATTTTAATTCACATTTATTTATATTTTGTTCTTGAAAAATTGTATTTTTGGATTTTTGAAAGACCTTATTGGCATTTTTTTGTATTGATTTCTTCAAGGAATGAAATATGCTTTTAAGTCCTAAAAAATTTCATTTTTAGTTATTCAATCCATAACAAAGTGGGGTTTGAAGAGAAGAAGGGTAATTCTTGCCATTGTCAAGAAGACAATCCAATTAAAATGGACCAATGGTTTTAAAAATATTGAAAAGGTAGTTTTATCATTTTCAAAAATTTAACTTGTAATAGAGATAACCAACGGATTTGCTAATGACGAGTATTAAACTGGAAGTTTTTGAGAATTCAGGCACCGTAGTGGCATGTTTTGAAGTTTAGGTACTAAAGTTAGACTAGCCCTAAATACTAAAGTATAGGGCATGGTTTTTAAAATTGACCCAGAGACCGAACTGGTCAGGGGTCCGGTTACCGGGTCAGATGGTCCAACTATTTGAATTGAACGTTCGACCCATTTTAACAAAAAAAAAAGAGGTCAAAACCATTCAAATGGTTAACCACCCGGTTCAGCGGTTCGCTGACCAAAATCAACGGTTTTGAGGAAAAATCTGGTTTTTGGGGAAAACGGAACCGATCACCTGACCGATTCCTGGTTTCTCTGGTTCGACCGCCCGATCCGATCCGGTTTTAAAAACCATGGTACAGGGTTCTAATCTACAATTTACCCTTAACCTGACATTGAATTAGACCTGATCCAAAATGGTCCGAGTATTATCATCAGATTGGATTGAACTTGCTCCATCTATAGTGAGCTCATATTGGAACAGATCGGATTGGACCAAATTCAGTCCAATTGACAATGGGTTTGGGGGATGGGCCATGTATAACCCAACGGAGAGAGAAAAAAGAATCTGTTTGCATAATAAATCACTTTCATTTGTAGCATTTTGAACCCATGGTTGCAATTAAAAAAGGCAGCTGACTCGATCAGTTACATAATTGCCTAACTGGATTAATCTATTATTGAATTTTTTGATCCGTCCAATAAATCAGAGGTTAGATTTAGTTCTATCTCCTTTTATAATTTTATTATTTAATTATTATATCATAGATTGATCCATTTGATTTAAATATTTGAACCATAAATAATAAAGAGATTCTACTTTTAGGTCAGTTTAAGATATTGTTCACTCTTATTCAATCATTTTAAGTTGCCATTAAGATTGTAGGCTTGAAAGCCCAGCCTGACCGAGTTTGAATCTACTCCTCAGAGAGCGTGCCACACACCTACCTCACAGCATATTCTAGTCATTGGGAACATCTCCCCGTTAACAAAAAATTACAATTTAGTAAATTATTTTTTACATATATATTTATAATAAATTTATATAAACATAAAATATTGAATTTTATTAACTATAAACTATTTATAATATCTCTTTATCTATGCATTTTTAATCTCAAACTTTACTTTAGGCAGAGTACCTAAGATTTTATTAACCATTATCAAAAAGAAGAAATAAAAGTATAGGGGATGACATTGCTTGCCTTACCCCAATCCCAAAATACAAAATTCTCTCCCTCACACATTCAGCCCTGCCCCTAACAAAATTAATCCGATAATAAACACAACAAAATACAGGACTCACCAAGGCAAGGTCAGACAAGGCAGAAAGAAGAACCCCACTTTATTAACCTGAACATAGTGAAGGAATAAGCCTTTTTTCCTCCACTCCCACGTTTGCAAGTAAATAAGCACATACTGGTAACTAAGTTTTTGGGAAAGTTGGTCAATGAGTATCTTTTTCTCATCGACCAACTTTACAATGTTCATTTAGCATTTACTAATGGGCCTCATGATAAAATAAGCTCCACTTCCTCGGGTAAAACTTACCCATCTCTCAGGTGGTAAGTAACTTTCTCACCTAGGGGGAAATTTTATAAAGCTTAATGGAGCAACTTTGTCCATTTTTATATTAGCTTCTTATGTGTAAAAATGTCATTCTGTTATTTACTTGGGAATCTTGAAAATAAAAAAATATGGAAAAGTGACAAAGAGGCAAATGAATGAGGCCTATGTGTGAGAAAATTGTACTTGCATGCAACTATGAACAACTGGATCATTAGCCCATCGTGTAAAGCCAATAATTTAGCTTGGGCAGAAGAGACATGACCATAAATTCAACTTTGGCATATCTTTCTATACATACATAATACAAGCATGCATGCTTACATACATAATTTATTAATTGGATTAATGAGGTTAAATCTATATCCAATCTGACTACTAAACCAATACTAGTTCTAAGACAAGAGTTTGAAATAATCAAATTGAGTCTGGACTGTTATGGGACCATATCCGAGCTAATTGGAATGTTAAGATTCAAAAAGGAACTTGGAATTGCTCCCCAATGCTCTTTATTACCAACCCCACAACACATTATAATTATGCATTGGGAACATCTCCCCTTTAATGATAACCTATAAGTGAATTTAGATCAGCTCCCCGAAGAGTGTGCCCCTCAATGTGCAATGGGAACATCTCTCAATGAGGCAGGCTTTGTTGGGAGCTTCCATATAAATGTAGGAAGTTGGGAAGGGAACTCGGATTTCCTCCCCATAAAGTGCTCGCCATGTCAACCCCAAGGCATATTGCAGCCATGCATATGGGAAGATGTTCCGAATATATGGCTGCAATCTATTGTGGGAGAACTCTATGGGGAGCAAATCTAACTTCAAAAAGCTGGCATTGTCAACCCATACAATGTAACAATTCTAGACTCTTTAGGTAAGAATGGAAGTTTCATAGGAATTTTAGGGTGCCTGACTTGTCCCTATCCTAATAGGACCCGTTTATCAAACCTTATAGGGTTTGGGTTTTGATCTTATGGTACCCAGTAGGGCCAGTACCTTATATGTGATTATAAACTCCAAGGTTTTTAAAAAACGAACCGGAAATAGAATTGGTTAGGGGATCGGTTTCCGGTTAAGCGGTTCAACCGTCTGGGTTGAATGGTTTGACCCATGATGTCATAAATAAATTAAAATAAAAAATATATTTATAAACAATAAAAAATAGCATAAAATTAAAAAACAAAAAATATAGAAAAATACAAAAAAAAAATAAAACTATCTAAATGCAAAAATAACAAAATACATAACAAATAGAAAATAACAAAAGTACAGAAACACCGTCCTCTCTGTTCCCTTTTTCTTCTTCTTCTTCTTCTTCACTGCAATAAAGAGTAGAATCGACAATCTCTGTTCTTTGTAATAAGGGTGGAGAAATTTTAAAAAACAATAAAATGAATAAATTAATAAAATAAAATCAAGAGTATGAGGGAGAATGAGAATGAGGACAAGAATCAGGTACAACAAATGGAGAGATGGAAAGGGGAGGAGGAGAAGTTCTCGCTGCTCGCGAAGTAGAGTAGATGTGCTCCTTCAAAAACAAAAGCAATAGATTTTTTGAGAAAAAAAAATATCTAAACTTATGTAAAATCACCGGCCGTCACTGCAAAATCGTTGACCGCCGCTGCTCCTTATTGCTCCTTGTTTCTGCTGATTAAAAAGAGAAAAGAAATCTGCCGTTGCAAAATCTCTGACCACCGTTGCTCTTGTTGCTCATTGTTGCTGCTGATTACAAGAAGGAAATCTGCCGCTGCTCCTTATTGCTGATTACTCACCGCAATAAGGCCTTTTGAGGAAGGAAATCCGGACGACAGTCGTTGGTCGTTGTGATTCATCGTCAGTCAACGGCGGTCGTGGCTGCCACAGGTCGTCGGTTGCACCGTCGGAGTATGAGAAGGAAGGTTGGGACTTAGAAGGCCCTAACTCGTAAGGGGGAATTGTGGGATATCAATGGAAATTTTTTTTTTTTTTTTTTTTAAATTAGACGAAAATGAATTTTGCCTACCTGCGAACTGCTGCCCGGGTTGAATGGTTTAATGGTTCAACTGCCCGGTTTCACAAATTTTTGACTTTTTCAACAGTTATTTATTAAATGACAGTTTATAGTATAACCAAACTTGGGAGGTGAACGGTTACCGATTTTTTTAGTTCAACTGTCCAGTCCGATCCGATTTTGAAAACCATGATAAACTCATTAGAGAAATGTTATAAGGTTTGCCGGAGAAGTCATTAATTGTAACATACTTACTAGCGAACTTGGTCACGAGAACCAATTGTCCTCCCAAAGCTTTAGTAACTATTCTCTATTTTATATTGTTTTTCGGATGCCTAAGGGGTGGTTACCCCTTGTGGTTTGTAGTTTGTTTTTTATTGTAATTGTATATCCATTTTATTAAAAAAAGCATCGAAAGAATGCAAAAAAATATTGAAGAGGCAATTTTAGTAAATGTATCCATACTTAGGATATGCACGGAGATGGTGTAAAAATGATGATACATCTTGGAAATTCAAATATATATAAAAAAATATAGTATAGCTTTAATAACTCTATTCACCATAAAAATAGAAAATGTAAAATTGTAAACTATTGTAATATTCCAAGAAAACGTTCACACATACACATGCATATGCGGTTTAAGGTTTAAAAAGTAAAATTTTATTTATATTTCTTTTTGCATGGGTAATAAATTAATTAAACCCACTGATTGGATTGGAAGTATGATGACCGCAACAAAACGCCTAGTACTAGTTTCTTTCGTTAGTAAGAAATTAAATTACTTAGGACCCGTTTGATTTGTAGTTGGAATTGAAATCGGAATAATCCATTTGGACCCTCTACGGCTCTACAATTAAACAGGAATGGGAAAACCCAATTAAACAGTTGGAATGGAGTCATCTAATTTGGACCCTCTACGGCTCTACAATCCATTTGGGTTTTCAAAGAACTAAGTGGGCCATGGGCGCATGGCCACCGGTTTTTAACGACCTTCCCCTTCGCGCACTCTTCTGTTCTGAGCACCCGCGCAGCATTCGTCTACTCGTCGGGTACGTACTTCTCTATCCAGTAGTTTCAAGTAATGAAATTTCTGTTCTATAAAAGAAAAAAAAAAAAATTGCAAAGCTCGTTTCTTAATTCTGCTCTTATGGATCTATCTATGGCTTCCGTTGATTTTTTTTTCCCTACGTATCGTTCCCCTATATTTAGGGTTTTTGCGAGCAACTTTTTTGATTTCTTACCCACTATCTCTCTCCTCTTGCAAGGGCTTTCGCACTTAGATTAATCTATATTTTGGAAGTTAACGAGCTTATGCCTTTTTCTCTTTTAAGTTCTAACATGGTAACATTGTTGAATCGATTTTGTTTGGAAGTCGGGAGCTAGGGTTTAGTTAACATTCATGCTTCAACATTATAAGCAATTATTTGAACCCTTCAAAACCTAATATTGGGAAAACTTCCTTACTTCGTCCCCTGTTCTGATCATCAAGTATGAACCTTACCTTCCCAACCCATTTAATTACTGATGCAATATCATCAAATACTTTACTTTGACTGAGGTGATGCTCACCATGTTAGGGTTTTATGTGGGGCATGTAGTTGGCCTAATCCTGGATCAGTTGCTTAATCTTGATGTTCACATTACTTAGTTCTTTTCCCCCTATTTTCTAAAAGGTATATTGATCTCATTGCATTGATGCAGGTAGCTTGGTGTTCTTGTGTGGAGCTACCGAAAACTAGCCAAAATGCAGAACGAAGAAGGGCAAAATATGGATCTTTACATCCCCAGGAAGTGGTATGCTCACCTATCTCCCCCACCCTTCCCACCCTCAGAAACGCATACATATTATGCCAGAAAACTATTTTGTTCCCGAGGGAATTTGCTAGTGTATATGGGTGGAGTTATAATGCCGTGCTTTGATATACTGTCTGCCCTGCAGTTCTGCCACGAATAGGCTCATTACATCCAAGGACCATGCTTCCGTGCAGATTAATATCGGGCATTTGGATGAGAATGGCATCTATACTGGTCACTTCACCACTTTTGCTCTCTGCGGTTTTGTCCGAGCTCAGGTTCATCTTCTGTTCACTTTATTCGTTATAAGAACCTTTGCTCTGTGTGGTTTTGTCCGAGCTCAGGTTCTTGTTTTCCTTTCTATTTAACTTGTTTTATGAACTCTTGTTGCTATATTTGGTAATTATTTGCATTTAGTGATTTCGATCGCCATTGGATTGATGCTCTTTGGCATTGCCTAATTATGTTGGTTTCTTTTTTTTTTTGTCTTTAGTATTTAGTGCTTTGGTTTCAGGTCTTGCTCTCTAACAGTTTTGGCTTAGCCCTCTACTGAAATGGGTAGGGGCGGGTTGCTATTCATTTATTGCCAAGTAAGAGCTTAGATTATTGCTTTTCTTTCGTAGTTGAATGGATAATAGGATTGACAAGGAAACATGGGGAATAAATAGACTGGGGTTATTTGTTGGCTTCTGTGGATAAATGGAGGGCAAGAAACTTTACAAGGAAACAAAGGATATTTGGTGGATTAGGTCAGTAGTTCTATACCCTGCAATTAATTGTTCTGGCTTCGGGGTCTTGCCCCTCTCTGTCTACAAACAAAGTACATAATTGTGATTGGATTGTGGTAGATGGTAGTTATTAATGGCTGTTTCTTAGCACCTTCTTAGGAATTGAGTAACAGTAAAGTATTTGAGGATGCTGGATTGATCTAAGGACCTCTAATGGTGTGAGATTGCATATCTGAATGAGTACTTCTCTATCAAATGACATTTGATTTGTAGGTTAACATAGGAGGCATATCTTTGCACAAGCCGCAGCCCGCAGGCGAGCCATGCCATGCCACCCAGCACGGCCCGTTTCAAGAAAAGACCCCAATGATGGTGAAACTCATATAATTGCGCCAATCCATATAATCATCAATGATGGACAAAAAAGAGAGCTTAAAGAACGGCGGCTCCTCCTCGCCCAAGGATTTGCTCTCCCGCCGCACTCCTCTGTTGAGAGTCTCTTCACAGGTGGTCTCTAACTTCTTCTCTAATAACGATCCTGAGTCGGAATGTCGGCCTTTTTCGTAGCTCCTAACTGGGTCCATGGCCTCGTCGGTTGGGGTTGCCGGTCTAAGATCCAACTTTTTGACGGATAATTCAACCGACAATTCTTCCAAGGAAAACGGTTCAGGGGATGGGGGTGAAAAGGATGTCCGGCTTAAGCTGCACTGTCTGTTGAATTTGGTGATTGCCCACTCTCCCATGTTTATATGTGAATACTTGAAGACTGAATTTGATCTCAATGCTTCGTGATTTATCATTGTGTATATATCTCCAGAGATTACTTTCTCTGTTATAAATCAGTGGGGAGATGCACATTGGAGTCGGGGGTTCTTGTTCAGTTCTTTGGCCTAGTAACTCTTGATAGTTGAATTGGCTTTTGGAAAATGCCAAAGCCAATTGATTAATTAGTTGATCAGTTTGGTTTTTGACGGATTTGGTTTATCGGTTTTTTAATATTTATAATATATATTTTAAATAAATATATAATAAAAATACTAAAATTAACTGAAACCTTACTGATGGCTACGAATTTTCAAAGATACTGAAGCAAGATCGAACAAGCAAGTTTGGTTAACCAAAATCCCGCTGCCACTAGGGGTTGGAGGGGGTCAAGGGAAAGGGGATGGGCTATCCCCTGTTGTGTAGCCCCATGAAGAAAAAAAAAATCGAACAAGCAAGTTTGGTTAATAAAAAATTTCACTTCAAATTATATTTTTCGAAATTGGATTCAGTCAGTGCAAAGTTCGTTGGAACACCCATAATATCCTTTGCATTGGGAATATCTCCCCATGAAATAAAGCACAGAAAAGGAGATGTTCCCGATGTAAGGCTGTAAAGGCTGTTTGAACGGTGTTTTAATGGGTCTTGCACTGACTGAAGCCGACCTCGTATTTTTCACACATTTGTATTGATGAACCCAAAATGCAACACTGGCAACACAACGCCATTCTACCAAACAGGCCCCATGTTACGAGTGTTTGTATTGACCTTGGATTTAACCTAGTCTCAGGCCTGAGTCCCAATTCTTAGATTGAGTTGGGTTGACCTGAAACCTGACCCAGCTCGCCCAACTTGTACCGATGCTTAAAATCATGGTTTTTGAACCGCTGTTGATTAGACAGTCGGACCATTTCGTTGAATGGTTTTTGGCCGTTTTTAAATTTTAATTATTTTTTATTTTTTTAATTTATTTTATCAAAACAGTCCATCCATTCAAACTGGATAGTTGAACTATTAACCCAAAAACCGATGGCCAGAATGATTCTAGTTCTGGGTCATTTTTTAAAACATTACTTGAAATAAAAGAGCTAAGCTACACAAAACGGGGTAGACATCACAAAAACAAAGATGATTAAATTGGCGATCTAATACCCTATTCCTATTAACCTGGACCCGTTGACCCAGATTGGCCAAACAGGCAACCAGTCAGCTGCAATATTTGCTTCCCTAAAAGACATCTAGACCAAACTGTAGACCAGTGTTTTAAGACTTGGCCCAAACTAGACGGTTGAACAAAACTAAGAACCGGTGGCATTTCCAAGTCCCAATTAAGTTGATGGTTTTTGCGGGTTGGGTGGACAAACCACTCGGTTAAACTTAGAGAGCATTCTGACTTTTACTCCGGTCCGAAGCATTCATCTATAATGGGTTTGACATTCCAATGAGGCACGAACCACGAACCAACATCCTTGAAGCAGTAAGCGATCACCTTCCCAATAACAGAGTTGCTCGAAGCATCAAAATTTATTTCATTTTATTTTAGGTTTCGCATTCTTGATCACCTTACCCAGAGTCCCAAATTATCTTTTCCCCTTTACCTTTATTGGATCCTACAGTAGGAAAGATCAATAAACTTCATGTTTTCAGTTTTAGCTACGATGCATTGGCAAAAGATATGATCCAAGCCCTATTCTCGACACCATAGACAATCTACATTAACTCTCAATCCTTATTTATTAAGTTTCACCTTACATGATAGTTTATTTAAGATTTTATACAGTGGATAATGACTAATACACCAAATGATTTATTAAGTTTCACCTTACATGAAAGTTTATTTAAGATTCCATACAGTGGATAATGACTAATACACCAAATGGGTGATGGCCTCTGATGGTGCACGATTTATTCGTTTTTAGGTGGATGGCAATTTGGACATTGGTCTACTTATGTGGTTGGTCGAATTGTAAGAGAATATGATAAGAGGATTTGCGGTGCTTTATTCGGTGTAGGCATTTCGATACTTAAGTTAGCAAAGAGTGATTGTGAGCTTGATAGCTTAGTGAGTAAGAGAGCTAGAGAGTTAATATCGCGCATACCTTGTAAATAGAGGTGAAGCCTTATATAGGCGAGCTACCATAGGTCTCACAAAACACATCCGAAATCCCCAGCCCGCGTTACCAGGAGTCCGTTTCGCACCCGAAGATGGACTTTGTGTGAGCTGATAAGTCTTATTGAGTCTGTCTGATCCGAGTGGGATGAGGAAAAGGCTTGCAGATGTGTAGTGTGATCCCGGAAAGGTCGGAGACAGCTAGCTAGCTTCTAGAAGTGGGTAAGATGAAACCTCGGCAGGTCAGGTCACCACAAGCTGCTCGGACCCCAATCTTGGTCGAGGTGCCCAAGGTACTCGAGTTAATCTGGCCTACTGAGGTAGCCGGAAATGCTGAGTTGTCATCTAGTCATCAGGTTGTTCCATGTGTCTGCATATTAACAGGTCGGGCCAAATTACCCATCATCAACCTCCATAGACTCATTATCTCATATGCTAATTTAATAGAGAAGCACCCTTTTGGGTTCACCCTCTAGACCATGTGACCCTCCCTACTCTCAAAAGGAATGGTGGAATAGCCTTTATCCAAATTTCCTAATTACTTAGATTGCGTTTGGTTTGAAAGAAAATTTAGGAAAAGGTAAGGAAACCTATACAAGGTTTGCATGGGTTAGTTTTTTTGTTGCAATATACAAGGTTTATAAGGAAACCCAGAACTGGAACTGCTTTGACCACCAGTTTCTAGGTTAGTGGTTCAATCATCTGGTCCGAACGACGGCTTGTTGCAATACAGTAAAATAAAAACTGTTGTCCGAGTCGAATGGGTCAATAAATCAACCACCTAGACAATGGCCGTTGACTAAATCAACAGATTTCGGGAAAAGGAATAGTTATGGGGTGAAACAGAACTGGTTGTCTGAACAGCATTTTAGGCCAAATGGTCCGAACATCCAGGTCAACAACGGTTCGAAAACCATGGTATAACTTTTCTACCTTTCCGTACCATTTCTTTCAAAGCAAATAGAGTCTTAGATTTCCATGTTTCCAAGTTTTCGTCTATGACACTCTAATTCTAAATCCTTCTCAAGTAAACTTTCAACCTACAAGCTTAAAGCTGTTAGGTGAAGTTCTAGAATAAAATTTTATTTTCTAACACCTAGTTTAGGGGTTTCTCACCTGCACACATTTTTTTCTCAAAATTAATATATATATATTGCAAATTCAACTTGATAGTTAGCACCCTATCCTCTTCTCAGAAGAGCTCATATATATATATATTGCAAATTCAACTTGGCAGTTGGCACCCTATCCTCTTCTCAGAAGAGCTCATATATATATATATTGCAAATTCAACTTGGCAGTTGGCACCCTATCCTCTTCTCAGAAGAGCTCATATATATATATATATATATATATTGCAAATTCAACTTGGCAGTTGGCACCCTATCCTCTTCTCAGAAGAGCTCTTTAGCATGATCCCCCTCCGGGTTTAATAACTCTTGTTTATTTTTTCCCCTCTTTATGAACCACCGTCCACGACACACTATTGGTGAATGGTGACACAATAACGTGGAGCCATTGGCTGTCTCTGTTGCACTAGAAATTTTAACAAGAAGAGAGGAGACCCTGAGACCCTGATCATAAACAATTATCCAATTATTGCTTTGCCCATCCAAGACGAAAATAAGTTCGGATCTGCTTATCACAATACAATGCCGTCATGCTCATCCAGCTGTAGGTTGAGAATATGGATGGCCACAACACAACCAACGTTCCATGTGGCCAGCAATGCGTTGTAGTCAACAGATCCGAACTCGAGGAAAATGAATTGGCTGTGGAAACAGGCTAGACTTTGGGCAATATGAGTTTGATTTGGTCCAAAAAAGGAAATAATAAAAAAATAGAAAACTCATTTTCATGCCATGCTAACTTCAATTCATGAAATTTAGATGTTAATTTGAAGGAGAATTATATGTAATAATTGTTTAATCTTTAATGCACAGTTGCAGGTGTATTATTAAGGCTCAAGTTTACGAGGAGTATAAATACAAATATGTAGAATGCAAAACTTTGTATTTTATATGTATTTGGATTGTACATTTGCATTTATATTCCTTCTAAATTGAGCCTAAGGGGTTATGCATTAGTGTGGTTCATTTGAAAATAACTAGTAATTAAGTACATGTGTTGCATGTATGAATTTTTTTCATATCAATTACTTGAATTTTAGATATATCATAATTATGATAGAAATTGAAAATTAATAAAAGTAACAATACGGTTAAAAATAAACTTAAATACTTGTATTAAATGTGCACATGCAGAAATTTTAAATTACAATAACAATTATTATTACTACTACCATTTCTTTGAAAGAATGGATCACTGACCTACCATTTAAATAAGAAAATAGCTTTGCTTTAGGATCAATTTTGAATTATATATTTCATCTACACCATATACATAATTTGAACTTATCCCACTTAATTTTTGTTTGACATATTAATATATATATATATATATATATATTCTTTTGATTACTTATACTTTTTTTATTATTTTTTAAATATTAATTATTTAACTATTATATCATCGATTAATCTATTTGACCCAAACCACTAACCTACGACCCAAAAAGAAAACTAGTTTGATTTCTAGGTTGACATTAAATTTTGTATTACGTTTCCATTATTGATGATATTACATTTTATGTATAATATTTAATTTTGTTCAATATAATGAGTGCGTAATGTTATATATGCATCCAATATTATATTTTTATAAATATATAATATTGTATCTTATGTATAATATTTATTTTTGTGTTTCTTTGTATTTTCTATTTTTAAAAATTTTATTATTTGATTATTACATCATTTCATTTTTAGATCGATTTTAATTTTGGCATTCCGTTTTCATCATTTACAAAAATACTTCTTACATTTCATACATATTTTTGTTTAGTATAATGAATATACAATAATAATGACATGCCCAGTTCCTTTTATTTTTTTGTATTATATATTTTATTCATTTTAATTTTTTATTATTTAATTATGGCATTATTTATTAATCCATTTGACCCCAAATGGTCGAATTGCTTGCCCACCATCGGTAGGGAAGAAAATAGTTTTATTTTCAAAATAATTATTTTTATATTATTAAAAATAATGTTGTTGATTTAATAAGAGAATATACCTTAGATATGGGATTTAATGAGAGATAATAGGAAAATAGTTTTATTTCTAATTGGTTTAAATTTTGTATTTCATTTCCATCATTAATAAAAACATTTTTATTTATAATCAATGTTTTCAACTTGTTGTTGACCTAGTTGATTGAACCGTTCGAACTGTCACTCGGCCTTGATTCTGGGTTTGGTTTTGTTGAAACTCCACCTTTTGGTTAAAAATTGTCTAACTTGGGCGGTTCAACCACTGACCCGTTCGACCTAGTAACCAAGTTGTAGGTTGCACACTTAATCATGTGCAAACTTTTGGAAGCCATAACTTTGCACTTCAATGTCCAATTGGGTTTATCTTATTTTTTTGAGTAACTTTTCAAGATCTATACATCCCAATCTGGAATTTTCTAAGGACAAAATTTACCCCTCTATATTTAAATTTATTGATAAAAAATGAGAGCAAATAGGGTAATTGGTTATTGATATTAAATGAGTTGAAAAGAGATAATTTAAAGATATTCAATGCATTCAATTCTCTCTCATTAAATCCAACATTTAAGTTATTATGTATATATTTAATTATAGAATTTAATGATGAGAAGAAATAAAGAATCCTTAAATATATGATTTAATGAAGGTGAATGCAAATTAATACCTTAAATGTTGGATTTAATAAGAAATAATTGAATGCATTGAATATCTTAAAATTAACTATTTTCAACTTATTTAATATCAATAACTAATTACCTTATTTTCCCTCATTTTTTATCGATAAATATAAATATAAAGGGGTAAATTTTGTCATCACAAAATTCCAGAAATATTCTTGAGGCTATTAGTACTTTTTAAAATAGTATAGATATAGATATAGATAGATATTATGGCCATGGTGCTAGAAAGCATTATCTTTTAAGGTGCAATTTGATTTAACATTATAACGTGAATTGAATTGGGCCATCTCAACATTTATTGTCCACGTCTAAATCTCATAGTCCAACCCCCGCAGCAAAATATGCGAATTATTTATGTAAAGTCTTGCAATAAATTCTTAATCTTTTTTATAGATATCCCTATAAAAATAGACCAAATAGAGTGAAAGGTACCATACTTTATTGAGCCACAGTACCCAATAACCCTAAACAAAATCTTTGGGCTGTTAATAATTGATCTTAAAAATTTATAGAATATCCAGAGTTTATTTTCTATTCAGAGATATGAGATTTAATGTTTATTTATAGAATATCCAAATTTATAGAATAGCCACAGTACCCAATAACCCTAAATAAAATCTTTGAGAGGATCTGGTGTGATTTCTATGGCATGTTCTTCAACCATGCCTCTGTGGGGCCCGGTGGAAGGAAAAATTCACGTTTTATTGAGCCATAATGTAACTTCTAAAGGAAAATTATCGAAGTCTCTGGTCTCCCCTAGTTGTCCCCTGTGTTTGCCCTAATGTAACTTCTCCTAAGGCTGTTTGGTTGCGGTGCAAATTTATTTGCACTAATACAAATGTAAAAATTGCAAATTCTTGTATAATTTAGTTTTGGACTTTATTTTATTCTGCTTTATGTTTTAATTTACTTCATTTATACTGCAATCAAATGAAATAAACTAAAATTTGAAACAAAAATAAGTCAGAATTTACACTCAAATCATTTGCACTGCCATGGTTTTGCATTAGTGCAAATTTATTTGCATTGCAACAAAAGACAACCTAACATTCTTAAAAAATGATATTAATATATCATCCCTTTTTATTAGTTTTCTAGATGGAACATAATGACATAAGACATTTTTTAAAAGTCAAATTTATCCTTGACCAACTTTGTTCAAATATACATTTACTAAAATACCCCCAAAAGAATATATAATATTCAAGCACACTAATAAGAAATATGTTGTAAAGATTTTAAATATTGACGAGATCGAAATCCTGATAGATGATATGATCAATAGAAAGGCTTAAGCATATTGGTCCTCTGTTCTCCCCGTGTAATGCCTTAGGCTCTGTTTGGAAAGAGTACAAATATAAATATATAGAGTGCAAAATCTTATATTTTATATGTATTTATATTGTACATATTTGCATTTTTACTCCTTTCAAATTGAGCATTAAAACTTAAAAGTAAAGATATTTTGGAAACATTAAACATTTTTATTATTGGAAACTAATGGAAAGATTGCACCTTTTTCACAAAATGTTAGGGGAGTTTTTGTGAAAATTAAAATTAACACAAGAGAGGTTTATAAGATTGTCAGAAAAACGAGGGGAGGTTTTTATATTTCTTCGTCATTCGAACTGATAAGACCCACTCATTAACTCACATCTATCACATGTTCTTAAATAACAACGACGGCCCATCGTTTATAGTTTATACTCACCCGAGATTTGTTTACAATAAAAATTGTCTCAACATGCTTCCAACATGATCTTTTTCTGCAGACTTTGCACATCGAGACTGGATCTACTCCTCACATAGGGCGCCTCACACATGCACACATGCACACCCTACCATGCATTGGGAACATCTCCCATATTTATAAGTTATTATTCATGGGAGATGTTCCCAATGCACGATGGATGTGCATGTGAGGCGCCCAAGTGTGAGGAGTAGATCCCGTTCCCTACACATCTCACCTTGAATTTGGGATCCACCATATATGTTGGAATACTTTTTTGTTCTGAATAGATCTGATTTAGGTTCTACTCACAACAAAAAAGTATTGCGAATTTACATGGGCTCCCCACTAAGAGTGCCCCCATGCACATCCAATTGTGCATTGGGATCATCTCCCATGACAAATATGAGATATATTCCCAATGAATGGTTGGATGAGCATGTGGGGTGCATTTTGTGAGGAGCCAATCCTAACTCGCACATTGTGCTCATGATGGGATGCAAGGATGATGATGTTGAAACCTGTTGGAAGTTGGAACACTTTTTTGTTGTGTGTTTTATAGGACTTCAGATCTCCTGCCCACAAGAACTCTACCCACATTTACCTACAACACACTACCCCCGTGTATTGGGAACATCTCCCCATGTATAGTACTATGTAGGAGGATGAGATGTTCTTCATGTGTGGCTGCCATGTTATGTGAGTAGACATGGGCAGAGTTCTTTTGGGTAGGAGATCTGGGCTGGTTTTATAAGAGCAAGGATCTCCCGCCAACAAAATACGTTCCAACACTTTATTAACTTGATGTTGATACCACATGTCACATTGGAAACTGGAGCCAACCCATATAAAAGTGATGTTGATACCACATGTCACATTGATACCATATGAGATGTACTATGTTAGATGATATTGGTAGGGAGTCCAGATCTCCTTTCCACACAAATTCTATCCACGTCTACCCACATAACATCGCAACTACACATGGAGAACATCTCATCCTCCTACATATATTATTTGGGGTGTCAATGATTCGGTTAACCGAACCATGGCACTTTTTTGTAAACCGAACCGGTTTTTCCAATTCTCCAAACCGAAACTGAGTCGGTACCACCGGTTAACCGGTCCGTTGGTTTCAGTTTTTGACCAGTTCGATTCTTTGGTTTTTAGGTTTTTTATATTTATAATATATATTATACAAATATATGTATAATATTATATTATAAATATTTGAAATATATATATATATATAATATTTATAAATAGATCATTATAAATATAATATAAGTATATATTTTTGTATATAATGAATATATATAATACATAGAAAATATGTGACATATTAAAAATATATATATAAATATATATACCGGTCGGTTTAATCGGTTTTTTGTAGATTAACCAAAAACCGAACCAATCCTTCAATTTTTCAAAAATCTTGAACTGAAACCGAACCGATTGTTTCGGTTAACCGCATTTTGTAATTTGGTTTTTTCGATTCGGTTCGATTTTTCGGTTTTTCATCAACACCCCTACGGGCCGGAGATCCGGAGTCATTGGTAGGGTGTTGAACATATTTTTGTTGGCAGGTGATCGGAACTCGTTTTAGAGAGTGGGCATACGAGATTGGATGGAATTCTCTAAAGCCTCCGGTCCGTTGAAAATTTTTCCGAAACTCTCGATTCCGGATATCTCTGAGATACCGAAAATATTGTTTATACCTAACGGATGTAAATGCAGTAGTAATTTTCTAAATTATTAGATCACCTCAGCTAGCTCGTCGTGCGCGTCTCTGTCGGAGCCAATGGCGTCATCGACGAATTAACAAGTAGAGAGGAAAGTCTTCTCACTAGCTAACCGTTACCGTGTTTCATAAGCAGAGAGAGAGAGAGAGAGAGAGAGAGAGAATTCTGAATTCCTGATGTTCGAAAGAGTTCTCACTGGGATCGCAATGAACCGCTCTACCGTTGGAAACCCATCCGAAATATCGCCGGATTCCGGCTCTCTCGTCCGTCGAATACTGACGGGTATGATTCTCTTCGCTGCAGTGGCATTAACTTGTCTTGTTCTCTATATTGCGGTGGTCAATCCCGACGGAGTTCTTCCTCGCCCTTTCGGTGCCTCTTCCACTATTGACCAAACCTTCTCCTTCCACACCGTCGATTCGTCTCCGGTCAGTTTCTACGTCTTTTCTTTGAATACATATCATGTAAACCAATTTTTGTTCGAAATTGTATTCTTAATTCTTTTAGTTTTAGCGATTAAAAGCGAGTGAATTGAAGGTTCGTGAAATATAATCGATCCTTTATTACTTTTGCTGATTTCTTTTGTTATCATTTTGGCTTGACCTCGACGTTGGGATGGGCGGTTAGGAACCGCTCTTACTCTGTTTACTGTGCTGTGGGCTTGTGGCGCGTACTGCGGAGGTGTTGGTTACTGGGTTGTTAGTAAAATTCCTTACTCAGGGACAGAGAATCAGAGAGAGTGTCTCGTGTCTGTTAGCAGAGTCCTGTTCCGGAGATTTGTTTCCATTTTCTCTGCGCATTTCCTGCCGGCCGAAAATACGAGATAGTGTGACTGATCGGAAACCGGCTCCATGTCAACTAGATCTAACAATTCACAAGCTTTTTGTTTTTGGGGTGACAACAAAGCTCTGCAGTCCAGTCGGGAGACTATCTAAAACCGACAGGAGATAGATAGCTCTTTCACTGAACCGAGCTTCTTCTGAGTTTTTTGCCGCTGGGGTTAGGAGATGCGGTGGGGGAGCTAGACGTCGACATTTATCTGGACACGATCTGAGTTTCTGAGAGTCATGTTGAGGTCTGCCGAGTCGCTCCTCGACCTGACTCGGTCACGCAAATTCTATCTCATCAGTCGCCAGTCGCGTATTTTTTTTCATGGACCCATCACTGGCCAGTCTGGGATTTTCTCCTATTTTCCACCCTTTTCTAAGGATCCAATTCGTTTTGAATCTTTTGATTCAAGAGTTTTAGTTACTTTCCAATTTTAGGCCTATATTATTAATAAAATTACGACCATTTTATCATTTGTATTTTAAAAAGGAATGGGGTATACATGTCTTTTTATAAATAATATAAAAATAAGTTATAAAATGACTATAAATAAATAAATGGGATCATATTTGAATTTGGATTGGAGCATATATAATCCGGTCCATTTGTACGCCAAATAGGCCCCTTAGTTTTGACCCTTTTCTAGGTAAATCACTTACCCGCTAAACGCATTCGCTCATATAAGTGCTTTCCATATAATATTTATCCAAACAAGTGTATTTAATAATTTTTTCTATTATATATATATATATATTATTTTTAGAGAGAATGACGGTTGAACCCAGGGTTAGAATTTTTAGGCGCAAATCGGAATTGATGTCAATTTAGGGGTGGGTATTGGTGTTAGAATACCAATACCTCAGGCTCAAATCGGAATTGATGTCAATTTAGGCGCAAATCGGAATTGATGTCAATTCAGAAATATGCATTGGGCTTGTCTATACTTTTCTATTGTTTTTTTTATCATTTATTTATTAAGCATTTTTGTCGTATTAAATTTTAACAACTTTCTTTCAAAGTAGAAAAGTAATATTTTAGGATAAACTGCTAAAAAACTTGGAAAAAATATGAAAAGTTTGATCACCTTTTTTATTAATCAACTTCCCCTCCAAAATTTACCGGTAAACAATATGAATTTCCGGTAACCCTCCAAAATAATATGAATTTCCAATACTTCCAAGTTACATCCATTGGGGTTTAGACTGCGTCGTCTTTGAAAAGTCAAAACTGGTTGGATATAGATTCAGACGGCATAGAATATTGAAAACTTGAAATCGTTTTCATTTTTTCGTTGGTTCGGATTGGACGGCTGATTGGATATCATATTACATCAAGTAAAATGAACCCATAAGTGATTTTAAGACTTTCTGATTGTCTTATTTGTTTTGTAAGTCTTATATTTACAAACATTTGGTCTGCATTGGTCTGATGTTTGGATTGAAGACTTGAAGTATTGAACTCTTAAATAAGCTAAGGTCTTACTGATGTTGAGGATCCTTGGTGATCTGGGCATGGGCTCAACACCTCAGGCTCGAATCGAGCTCGTGGGCCCAAAAATAGGTGGGCCTCTTTAAAGACTCTGTAGTAGCTACTAATTTTCATTCACATGCACTTTACAATGGGAATCCTGTAATTAACTGTCTCATGGCTTAGCTTATTTGTGCAACAAATTTTATTTGCATTGTTGTAAATGCATGAGAGTGTAAATTCTGTTTTATTTTTATTTCGATTTAATTTGGAAGGAGTGCTAATACAAATATGTTTAGTGTAAATACAAGTTTAGAAATACAAAATACAGGGAATTGTGGTGTATGTATTTATATTTACACTGTTTCCAAACTATGCCTTTGTAATTGACCTTATCTTAATTGTTTGTGAAATGTAAAAAAAAAGGGGTAATAGCATATAAGGGCAATTTTTGGGGTTTAATATCAATAAAAGTAATATTTAAAAAAAAATCAAAAATATGTTAACTTTTTAAAAATAATATCAATAAAGGGTAAAAACACTGTTCATCATCTTCTTCTTGCCATTTGTTCACCAGCACCGCCGCCTGCCGTCGTACGCCACCACCCGCCATCGCTATCTGTTGCCGCCTCCGTCTCCGAAAACATTGCCAGAGGTAGAGGTAGCGGCGGCGACGCTGGTGGTCATTCCTCTGCCCAGTGCCGTCGCCGCTGCCACCTCTGTCTCCACCCACCTCCGACAATGTTGTCGGAGGTAGAGGCGGAGGTGGGCAGAGGTGGCGGCGTTGGGTAGAGAAATGACCACCAACACCGCCGCCGCCACCTCTGCCTTCGGCCACTTCCGGCAACGTTGTTGGAGGCGGAGGCGGGCGGCAGCAGACGGCAGTGGCGGGCGGCGGCGCTGGTGAACAAATGGCAAGAAGAAGATAATGAACAATGTTTTTGCCCTTTATTGATATTATTTTTAAAAAGTTAACCTATTTTTGAAATTTTTTAAAAATATTATTTTTATTGATATTAAACCCCAAAAGTTACCCTTATATGCTATTGTCCCAAAAGAAAAAAACTAAGAAAGTGATACTCCCTACCTTACATGAAAGAGAATGAATGTGCACATTTTGCAACAGTTTTTTAGACGAAAAATTTACATTGCCAATGGATGCAAATAAAACAAAAAGTATATACTTTGAATCAGATAAAAGTGTAAATCATAATTATAAAGTAACATATGCAAAATTGAATTGGGCACAAAATCTGTATTGGATTTAGATTTGCACTACAAACAAACAAATCCATTGGCTGCGTTCGTTTTCGGTGTAAATGCGAATCAATGTAAAACTCCATCGTCGGTTCACATTTACAAGCATTTGTTTTCAGTGTAAATATGAACCAGTGTTTTAAAAGGCGTGGGAGGTGTATGCCTGGAGGCACACTTCCAAGCGAGACACTCCCAAAACGCCCTAGAGCGTATGCCAGAGGCGTACGCCTCAAGTGCAAGAGGCGCTTTTTTCATGAGGCATGTTAGAGGCATACGCCTCAAGTGCAAGAGGCGCTTTTTTCATGAGGCATGTTAGAGGCATACGCCTCATGTGCCTCATGCACATCTTATATGAAAAGATAGGAAAAAAAAAAGAAAAAAAAGAAAAAGAGAAGGGAAAGAAAAAGAAAAAAAAAAGAAAAAAAAAAGAGAAAAGGAAAGGGAAGGGAAGGGAAGGGAAAAAAAGATAAGGGGAAAGAAAGTGGCTTGCCCCCAGCCCCCCTCCCCTCCGCCCCTTTCAATTAATGTTATGCATCTTTATTTTTCTTAATATAAAAGATTTTTATTAAAAAAAAAAAAACAAAGAGATCCCCCTTCCTCCTAACCCCTCTCCTCCTTAAGCCTCCTTATGTTTGGGAGGCTTATGCCTCACGCCTCTAGGTAGTGGAATGCCTTGGCATTTTAAAATATTGATACAAACCAGTATAAAACTCCACACCTGGTCCATATTTTCACGTGTTTGTTTCTAGTGCAAAGTTTATATAAAAAATCAATGTAAACCTTCTAATCGGTTGACTTTTCCATCGATTATCACATAAAAAAAGCTCCAATGGACCATAAGATTCTAAACCCATCGATTGACTTTTCCAAGAAGTGAGGTTTACATTGATGGTTTTTCGGCCGAAAACAAATGCAGCCATAGGTACACATTATATGACCATTTGGGTTGTGGATTTCAATTCCTGATTGCTTGATATGGGTGATTATCTGCTCTATGGTGGATTCATTTGCAAGAAGATTTTAGAACATAACAGAAAATTTGCCCCTTTTATTGAAATGAGATACACTTTTGTAGGATGATGAGGAAACAAGTCTAGAAAGAATTTTGAAGGCAGCAGCCATGGAGGATGGAACTGTCATCTTAACTACCTTAAATGAAGCATGGGCAGCACCTGGCTCAATTATCGATCTCTTTATTGATAGCTTCCGAGTAGGAGATCGAACCAGTTGGCTTCTGAAGCATTTGGTAGTTGTTGCTCTGGATCAAGAGGCATACACTCGTTGTTTGGTGATACATACCCACTGCTTTGCTCTTGTAACTCAAGGGTCAAATTTCACTGGAGAAGCTTATTTCATGACATCTGATTACTTGGAAATGATGTGGAGAAGGATTGATTTTCTAAGATCTGTTCTTGAGATGGGTTACCACTTTATTTTCACGGTACTTTCTTTATTCTCTTGCTTTATGGAATCATACACATTTAAGGCTGTTTCTCTCTTATTTTGCCTAAGTTTTAAGTTCAATGTTTGAGATTTGTGCATACACATTTCTTAAGTTGATTTCATCTTGTTTGATTAATTGGTTTCAGTTAGTACTTTTTCTTTTTCTTTTTTTTTTAATTTCAAATTTTATATTTGAATCAATTGCTAGCTGTTAGTTTGCAGTGCAAATATGGAATGAATACAAATTTTGCACCTTGTTCACTTTTGATTTGTGTTTATAACTATAATTTATACAAAGTTTGTATTTTTTTTTATCTCATTTGCACTCATTAGCAGTGCAAAGTTTACATCCCAGAAACCGATACAAAATTTCTTTACCTTCTTCATACTTCAATTCTCTCTCATATCAAGTGGGAATAACACCATCTTGCTTCCTACCACACTCCCAGACAAATAATTCTCCTCTCTCCATTATCTTTCATATAGAATGGGAAACATTTCATCTTACTTCCTATTGTACAAGCAAAACAAAGTCAAATCTAGGAATGGCAATGGGGCGGGGCACCCCCTCCCAGTCCCTGCCCCGAAGTCACGATACCTTTCCTGAACCCGCCTCGCCACCGAGCATCCATTTCTCATCGGGGCCGGGGAATTTCCAAATTTTCCCCGCTCCAAGGCAATTACTTAAAAATTATCTATGTTATGGACAATTTATACATAGGATATAGGAATTTGGGGGTAATTTAGAATTGAATTATAATACTTTAGGGGTAATTCAAAAATAACATTATGGGATCCTAAGATTTTAAAAATTTAGGGAAAATTTAGAGATATTTTTAATATCAATGTTAAACCTAGAGATATTTTACTAATTTACCTTCGAGTTCGGGAATTATATACAAAATCTATCCCCGCCCCGTACTCGATTCGGGGAAAAATTATTTTCCCTATCCCCGCTCCGCCCTTATTTAGGGTCGGGGAAAACCCGCCCCGTTCGGAGTGGGGCGGGGCGGGGCGGGCCCTCGGTTTTACGGGAAAAATTGCCATCCCTAGTCAAATCTAAAAAAAAAAATCCATAATTTGCACTCCTTAGTTGTTTATACCAGTACAAATAAACAAACTGAGCCTTTATAAATTTTAACTCATTTTGATTACATTTGTTTGGTTTCCCCTTTCAGGATGCTGATATAATGTGGTTCCGCAACCCATTTCCACACTTCTATCCGGATGCAGATTTCCAAATAGCATGTGATAACTTCATGGGCAACCCAAGTGATTTAAGCAACAGACCAAACGGAGGATTTAACTATGTCAAGTCCAATAAGCGAACTATAGAATTCTATAAATTTTGGTACTCCTCAAGAGAGACCCATCCAGGGTATCATGATCAGGATGTGCTGAACATGATAAAATTTGATCCTTTCATCACCCAGATTGGATTGAAGATGATGTTTTTGGATACTGCTTACTTTGGAGGGTTTTGTGAGCCTAGCAGAGATCTGAATCTGGTCTGTACAATGCATGCAAATTGTTGTTATGGCCTGGATAGTAAACTCATTGATCTCAGAATTATGATTGAGGATTGGAGAAAATATGTGTCTTCTCCACCAAATATGAAGGCCTCCAGTTTGCAATTCTGGAGGGTCCCACATAATTGCAGGTGCCATCCACAACTTTGGACTTTGTGCTCATTAACCTATCTATTCTTTTTAGAATTCAACTACGATGCATTCATTGATATTGGTTGCACTTTAAATTTAGATCTCAATCAATCCTTATGGGTGTCTATGAAAAATTGAAAAATCGAATCAAATCAAATCGAAAAATGTAGTTAATTAAACTGATTAGATTAGTTTGTTTTTGGTTTGGTATTTTTGAAAAAAAAAAGAATTGTTTCGATTTTTGGTTAATTTACAAAAAAAATGACGATTAATCGAATTGACCGGTATATATTATTTTATATATTTTTAATATATATCACATATTTTTATAATATTTATAATATGTTATATATTATTTATTATTTATAATATAATATTATACATATATTTATATAATATATTATAAATATAAAAAACTAAAGAACCAAACCGAAGGACTAGTTAATCGATGGTATCGATTTGGAGAAATGGAAAAACATGTGGTATTGGTTCGGTTTGTAAAAATTGCCTATGATTCGGTTAACTGAACCGTGGACACCCCTATCAATCATGTTAAAGTTTATTTACTTTTCACGGGTTCATGTTTTACTATTCAGTCCACCTCTAGAAATCTTAGCTCCATTGTACAAGTGGAATGAATCCTGACCGTGGATCAATGCCAAATCCATAAGCAGGATGCGATTTATAAGGGGCTACTAATAGACTAGGAGGGGGTTGTAATTTGAAATTTCTGAGGAAAAATAGAGTCTACTTATCCCTATAAATTATATCTTTACGTTTAACAAAGTATGCTTACCATAGGTTCACTCAATCACTTCTTTTGCTTCACAGAACAAAGGATGCATAGTAGAGTTTTGCCTTTCTTTTATGTATATGTGTTTATTCATAGATCAAATATCATTCATTATGTTTCATCCTTTTCTTCACCAAAGATGTTTATTACTTGTATTAATTATTTGGTTGGTATGTCCCTCCAGTCTTTCATCTTTCCATCCGCCTCCAAAGAAGAAACAACAAGAGCAGAACGATTGACAATCAGTTACAATGTATCTCATCTTTTCTCAATAGCCAGCTTTGCAAAGGTAAGCTTTTAGCCATTTTATGGATGATTTCCATTGATTTTTTTTTTCCCTGTGAATATCTGTCATAATTTCAAATATTAAAAAACATTTAAGAGTTTAGCTACGGTGCTTCATTAATATTGGTAGGTAATCGGTAGGTAATCGGTAAAGCCTTTTTTAAGGCTAAACCCAAAACCGTTGGTCTTAAATGTTAAAAAGATGTTTAAACTGAATTTACATCTGTACCCCACAATGCCTCACAACACATCTCAACTTGGGAATGTCTCCCTATGATGTCTTATCATCTTTTGTATTTGTCATCTAGAGATGTTCTCAATACAAGGTCAGAATATGCCACGGGGCATTATGGGGTGCAGATCTGAATTCTTGCAAACTATGGCAGATGTACTTAAATTTTGCCAAAAATTAATCTCTAAATAAATGTAATCAGATTATGCCAATGTTTTGAAAAACGGCTCGAAACCGGAACTGTTTTTGGCCACTGGTTTCTGGGTCGGTGGTTCAATCATCCGGTTCGAACGGATGGTCCATTCTGACAAAATAAATTAAAATTTAAAAACGGCCAAAACCGTTGAATAGGTCGAATGGGTCAACGATTCAACAGCCCGGATTTAATGGGTCATTGACCAATTCAACGGTTTTTGGCTAGGGACTGGGTTTGGGGTAAAACGGAACCAGTTGCCTAGATGGTTTCCGGGCAGAACGGTCCGACCGTCCGGGTCAACAGCGGTTCGAAAACCATATTTTATGCCATTAATAAATAAGAAAATAAAATGCTAAAGAGAGAAATATAGAGTGATACAAACGCTGTTTGACAATAAAATCACCCCCTTCCCCCGTTGTGCGATTTGGTAAATTGACTAAAATAAAATGAAAATTGATGCACGCGTGAGATTTTTGTTGAAGTTTAGAGGCAAGGCTTTCATGTCTTGTTTTGCCCTAAGGGTGGCTTGCTTGCAAACCACATAACCTTTTGGTTGAAATTCTTCTCCAAAGAATCCCCACTATTTGAAAAAGATGAATTTTATGCCATGTTTAGTATGCTAACAACTTATAACTTATTTATATTTGGCATCCAACTTTTTTAATTGTTTATTTTAAAAAATGAACACTCATTTTATATTACGTGTTTGGTGGTGTTTTTCTCCAATAACCACAAATTTCATCAGAAATTATTATTTGAAATCATGCCAATTGCAGCCTAAACTTCTGATATTCTCTGCTTCCAGCCCAAAAGGCTGCAACCGAGGTGGGTATTTGGTTAGTAGTGCGATCCCATGAAACATTTGTGAATTTTATGCTCGTTTTGGAAGGAGTACAAATGCAGACACGTATATAGAGTGCAAAGCCTTATATTTTGTATTATATTCAAACTAAGCTTCAAGGACAAAAAAATTGAGCTACTTTTTCTCTCAATAACACCACAAAATATATTACAGTGGAGTTTTACTCAACATCACCTAACTCGTCCAAAATAATAAATTCCCATAACATAGCCTTAGTTAAAGCCGTGAATCACAACTTAATGTATTGATGTGGCCCCATCTTGAATTGGATGAAGTGGCATTGTGGTGTGGCCACAAAATACATCCAAAGGCCATGATTGTAGGTTTTATATGCCATTGGGCCTAATGGATTCGCCTCGACCAACTTGGCTGTGCCATAAGAGCAGAGTCAGGGGTGGCGGGAGGAGCCATGGCTTCTCTATGCGTTAAAACAAGGTTTAAAAAACTGACTTGTAATTGGAACTGTTCTTCTAGGCATTGGTTTCTGGGTTAATGGTTTGACCGTTTGATTCGAATGGGAAGCCTGTTCTGACAAAAAGTAATTAAAATAAAAAACATTTAAAAACCGTTCAAACGGGTCGATGGTATGTCTGCTCGGGAGTCAATGAGTCATTGATCAATTCAACAATTTGTGGTCAAAGACTGGTTTTAGGGTAAAACAGAACCAGTTGCCTGCACGGTTCCTAAGCCAAACAGTCCGACCATCAGGGTCAACGGTGGTTTGAAAACATTGTGTGAAAAATCCCCATAATAAACACATCACACCATGTATTGACAACATCTCTCAATGAATAACAAAACACAAGAATGGCAGATGTTTCCAATGTCCGGCTATGCGACTGAACATGCTGTAAGGTTCAACATTTTCGAACCACTGTTGACCCGGATGGTCGGACCGTTCGGCCTGGGAACAATCCAGGCAACTAATTCCATTTTACCCAAAACCTGGAATTTGGTTAAAAACCGTTGACTCAGGCGGTCGAACCATCGACCTATTGACCCGTTCAACGGTTTTTAACTATTTTTAATTTTACTGTCAAAACAGGTCGTCCGTTTGAACTGGACGATCGGACTGTTAACCCGGAAATCAGTACCCAGAACGGTTTCATTTCCGGGTCGTTTTTTAAAACGTTGGTAAGGTTGATGTGTGAAACAAATAGGGAGTCATTAGGAAGATTCTTACTTTGATTAATTAATATATTTTTTTCTCTTCCAGGTTGTAAAGGAGTTTTATTAATTTTCTGTTCTGTGATTCATTGTGGATCGTATGAATAGCTGGCCTTTAACAAAGGGAGTCAAGTTTATCATCAATTGCTTCTCTAAAGGCATTAGGGGGAGTGGATGCATTGACGGAGGAAGGAAAGTATTCAAGGGAAGAGTTTTAGCAAATGGACTTTCATATTTCATGTATCATTTGGAAACCCCTCTTCCGGTTCCGCCTTTTGTTGTAACGCACGTCAACGTTTACTGTATAGGAATGTCGAAATTATGGGACATCTTATCTTATTTTGAGGTAGGTGGTAGATGCTTTTCAAGTCTCCCTCTCTCTCTCTCTGTTTGGTATGGAAATTGTTTCTTACGGGTCAGTATATATGATGTTGGTGTTTTGTTCTTTTCTTCACTTTTTCTTGTTTGGTTGAATGATTTAAAACCATTTCTAACAACGCTGAATGCCCTAAATTCTGTGAGAGCAGCTTTTGGAGAAGGTGTTCTACTATGATACCAAAAATCATTGTAATGAATCAACCGGGATCATGAAAGTGTTAATCGCGTGGGGTTTCATCAAAATTCACAAGGGGTTTTAATTGATTAAAGGTCTTTCCAATATCATGTTTTTCCGGCATCATAAAATTTTCCAAAAATATATATAATTTATTTATTTCCTTGTTTACTCTGTCATGGACAATCTATACTACTATTAGAAGTGTGAATGAGAGTGTGGGAATTTTGTTTGATTAGAATATCCCAACTTTTGAATTTGGCCTCTCTAATTGTAAAAACAAAAATGTAATTTGAACAGCCACTTTTTTCTCATTCAAATACCTATCACCAAGTCTTATTTTTAGGGTAATAACTCTCATTCTTTCATTGAATCCTATATTAATTAACCATATTAAAGAGACAAAAGTGTGACAAAGAATAATCATTTTTATGATGATAGAAATAAATTAAAAATTTTAAACCAATTAAAAAATAGAGTTGTTTTCCTATTTGGTGGTGAATCAACAATAGGGGTGCAACTTGGGCAGGCCCAACTTGAGCCCGAACCGGCCTAGCCGGAAATTTTACATGGGCTGGGCTTGGGCCCAAGAAATTGGGCTTTTTTCTTTTGGGGTCGGGTTCGGACTAGCGGACCTAGCCTTTAGGTAGTCCGACCCGGCCCGAGCCTAGCCCAATTATATACATTTATACATATATATGTGTATATATGTAAATGCTGCATATATATTTACATATATATATATATATACATATTTCTATATATAACATTTGTATAAATATTTTGCATACATATTTATATACATACATAAATATATGTATATATATTTGCATAAATACATTTATATATGTACAAATTTAGAGTGGGTTCATTGACCAACCCGAGCTCGGCCCAAGCCCAAGCCCGAGCTTAACCCGAGTGCATCAAATTATAGGGCAGGCTAGGCTCGGGTTGGGAAAATTGGGCTTGACCTCGGGCTTGGACCTTAAGCCCAAATTTTAGGGTCGGGCCTGGGTTGACCATAATCCCGACCCAACCCACCCAACTTGCACCCCTAATCAACAATTCAACTTTAAAAGTATAAAAAGCACAAAAAATTTTATAAAAAACATTTGAGCGCATTTCTAATATCATATATATTCATCATATTAAACAAAAATAAATATTATAAATAAAAATAATTTTATAAACATAAAAATATAAAAAAATATAAAAATTTTTAGAAACATATTATTTACTATTATGTAAAAGTGGTTACAGATAAACACAATTTTTCATTACTCATGTCTGGAAACTAAGTCAAATAATTGTTAACTACAAGCAGTGGTTCATTTGATTCTCCCAATTTGTGAATTGATACACTATAAATAGATGATTAATTTGTATTTTATTGTTAGGTCTGGAGCCAGGTTCAAAGTATAGATCCTACCGTAATATATCAAATTGGTTTTGAGGTTGTCAATACACTGAATATAAGGAGTTAGGAATAAGCCGCAACTTTAAATAACAAGGCGTTGATTAAAACTAATGTAATGTGTTTGAATATCAAACAAGGCGTTGATATTTGTTATTATTGTGCATTTCAAAAAAAATATTTGTTATTATATTTAGGAAAATCTATGATGCGGAAAAGATATGGTACGGGAAGAGTTTTGATTAATTAAAACTCATTCATGAATTTTGATAAATAATACCTAATTCATTATCACGTTTATGATTCTAGTTGATTGATTGGTCAGAAGTTTTTCAGGTATCATATCTCTTCTATATCATAGTCAAACCCATTTTTAGTTGACTGTCATTTTAATACCAGTTGATCGGTTGTATGTTTTTCTAAGCATCATGTCTTTTTACTATCATAGTCGAACCCTTTTCTTCGATAGTAATTATGTGTTAAAAATTCAGCAAAATAACTCTGGATTCTATACATACATTATTTTTTAATGCCCATTAGGTCACTTTATGATACCAATCAACCGATATCATTAATACTTCTCTTTTATCGAAGTGGGTTCTATATATCGCCCTATGAATGAAAATGGAGAGATATTCCCAATGCACAACTATTATGTCCTGTGCCTGTGGATTGAGATGTGGGAACAAGTAGTGGGTAGCAGATCCGAGCCCTAATTTGTCAAAGCCCTTCCAATATGAATTCACATCTGCACCCCATGGGCACATTTCAGCATGCATTGGAAATATCTCCTATACTTGCTATTGGGAGATATTCCCAATACACAGTTAGGGTATGTTGTGGAATACACTCTTTGGGGTGCATATGTGAATTCTTCCGATATCATGTCCTTTCGACGCACTCTGATTTTTGTTTGTATAATGTATCCGAGTCCCCTTTTATTAACTTTTGTTTAAGGCTACAACTTGGGTCGGGTTGGCCCGAACCCAACTCTAACCCAACCTAAAAAAATTGGGTTGGGTTGGGTCGGGTTGATGCTCGAATTAGGGTTGAAATTCATGAACCTGACTTTATTTCAAATTGGGTTAGGGTTGACCCCTTGGGCAACCTGACCTAACCCGAACCTAACTCTATAGTATATGTCATATATAAAGATATGTTATATATATTATATATCATACATTGATTTTTTTTAGATGTACGATAGTTGTATAGCCCTCACTACATACTACCATGTCTTTCTTTTAAGATAATCACTTCACTTAATCTTAAATGAAAAGATTAAAACCTTAATAACATATTTTATGTTTTTTGAATATTTTATTCTCTATGTCCTCTCTAATGTTTGACGCCTATAAAAAATCTATTATAAGTTATAACTCATAGTAAACTATAATCATTTCAAACACTTATTTTTCCATTTTGTACTAAAAGAAGCAATAAAAACATCAACAAACAAATACTAATAAAACATAGGACTAATATATATAGTGAAACATGAGTTAAGATTTGAGATTAAATAGTTTTATGAGATTTTAAGGGATGGGAAGAAGGTTGGATTGGGCCCAACCCAAAGTTGGGTTGGATTAGGGTTGAAGAAATTTAGTTAGGGTTAGGGTTGGATAGATTAGATTGAAGATTGGGTTGGGGGTTTAGAACTTAGTGTTAGGCTAGGGTTGGCCCAAACCGACCTAACCCGGCCCAACTTGCAGCCCTACTTCCGTTTTAGATGATCCCGACCCGGTAATGATCCGAAATGCAAATTATTCAAAGTCCATCCATGATGGCACAGGGGTGATTACGATGTAATATCAGGGGCATTTTTGTATCTGTAGAAATTTCTATTATATGTACGATTATTTCTCCTTCTACAACTCCGCACTCCACAGTGTTAAAGCGAAGTCCAGGCCATCCACCGAGTCTGAAAGCAAGGAGGAAGAGACTAGAGAGAGGTCGCTCGTTATCAAAATGGTAAATTTTCGCATATATTCAATTCCTTTCTGCAGAAACCATCGATCATTTCCGTCTTTTCTTATCCTTTTCTCTATAACTACCGACTAATCATGCCTATCTTCTCTTTAAATTTCCTAGAAACTGTTTGATACATGTGGAATGTCACCTGTACCCAGACTGAGTTAGGGTTTTCAGAAATTTTGGTTATATTTTTCAAAGCCTAGCATCTCCGGTTAATATCCTTGGTCATATTCGAATACTCTCGTTGATGCTCTCTTTTGTATGCTAACTTTCATATTTCCTTCGTTACTTGAATCTCTCTGAATTAGTTATCTCAGTCTTCTCCCATTTACGCATAACTAAACATCCGCTGCGTTTTTGAGCTCCTAAATTGTATGAGGGGTTTTAAAGGAGTAATGATGCCCGCATTGGAGAAGAATGGCGGAAAAGGTGCCTTGATCCTTTCTGGGGCATCCGATGGGATAACTTACTTCGTAACACATGCTTACATACACAATTTATACTTCAGTGCATGAAAACAATGGCATGTCTCAAGCGTCTACATACATTTGTTCAGTCTAATTTGATTGTGATTTGTGGGCTGTCTTCATGGTACTTTTTTGGTTTATTACTTCATTTGTGCTTTGAGGGGAAGTCTTAGTGTTGATTTTTGACGCCATATATCATGTAGCAATTTTGGTATGACAAAGGCCGGCTGTCTTGGATTTGTTATTTCCGGTCAATTACTACGAATGACTTCGTGTCTAGATGTTTAATCTTATTTTCAACTCATTAATTGTGAATAAGCATTACAGGTTGTACCACATTATTTCGTAGTACTGCTTCATTGGAATGTATTCATAGTCTATACACTTGTGATATTTTTAACTTGAAAATAAATAAAATCTTTTGTGGCATTATCCACTTCCCCTCTTTCTTTCCATTTTGTGAAGATGGGTTGAGAAGATATAGTTTAAGAATTAAAGAATTAGGGTTCAGTTTGAAGTGAATTAGAAGGAAAAGCTGCTTGGGTTAGTTACTAACATGAGTACCTTCTGAAACTGAAACCGCCTGAGAAGAAAAGTTTGTTTAAGCAAACTTCTAATTTAATAATAATATGTAGACTTGAATTAGGAAATTGACACAACTAACAATACCCTTTAATACACTAACTACTCATTTAAAAAACTGACATGCAAGAGCTCCATAAACGAAAAACCACCTAAAGAAATTCAAAATATAACTACTAGACATGTAGCATCCAGTCTCCCACAAAACTGACCCTGTCCCCAAGGTCATCATCACCTTGGCTCCCATATTATTACAATGGCTCTACTGACTGGATGAAAGAGTTGAAGCTCAGCCAGTGGGTAGTATGAAAAAAGGCCCATGAAAAATATTCCTAGATTGTTTTTTATTCTGATAAGCTTGTGTGCAACAATTGCACCTTATCTTCTAGAGTTTTTTATGATTATAGAATCAAGTTAGCTTTTTTGTTGTAATATTTCAATACTTTAGCCCAATCATCTTTTTCTATCATGATTTCCTCAGCTTGGTGGCTAGGAGTATAGGTGGCAATGGTGTCTAATGATTTTTGTTTTCCATTGTCATCATTGCTCTTGATGGGTACTATGTTTTGATTAAGGCTCAAAATTTGCTCCAACCTTTTAGGATGCCGTTTCTCTTGAAACTCATAGCTTTTCAGTAGATGCTGGGCCTTTTTTATCTCCTCCATTAGCCCAAGGGTTGTCCACTCTGATACCATTCTATTATGTGCTTTTTTAAGATAGATAAAAAAAAAGAGGTGAAATAGATAAGAGATTCTACTTTGAGGGTGGAAGGCCTCCTAGAATCTCTCAAGAGACCTTTCTTTTGAGACATTGGCTCCTTAGTTCTCCTGCCAATGGATCACTTGCATTTGAATATAGGCTTGATTAGGAAACTAACATAATTAACATTAACTGCATCCTTTAATACACTAACTAGTCAATTAAAAATCGTACATTTAAGAACCCAGTACTCCACGAAACAAAACTATACCTTAAGAAATTTAAAATAAGAATTAACTGCTGCAAACATAACAAATGTTGAAATAATATTTTTATGGGCAACACTGAATGGTGGGAATAAGGCTTGGGGCTTCTGGAATTGAGTTGCTATTCTGTCAAATGCTAGAAATTCTGCTCGTTTGATGCCATAATGTGGCCTCATACACAAAATTCAAATGCTCCAGGTTATATTATAACAGGGTGCATGTTCTGTACTGGCTCCCAACCTAGAAACTTTCATAAGAGGGTAAAAAGGAACTAAAACCAATAAAATTCCTTGGGACAGATCAGCCTGGTTGGATGATCCCAATCATTTTAATTTCTCATTGCAATCATCATTATAGTTATGAATATAATGGGCTTGATAATTGTGGAAAGCAGTTCTTTAGCCACCATCAGCTTGTTTACACTAATGCTTTAAAATTCTGAGCTTGTTTGAGTTCATTATCTTGTTACATACCATGGCCCCTCTTTGGCTATATTCTTTACGTATATGTCGTGCAGTAAGATTTGATTAACTATGGTGGCAGGATGGACATGATTCAGAAGATTCTAAGCAAACCACCGCCGATATGTCTGCTTTTGTAAGTTCTTAAGATTTTATAATGTGAGGGCTTCATTTTTAGGCATCTTATTTCAAGGGTGGAAGGAAAACTTAGTGCTTACTATCTGTTGTTGAGGATGGATTTGGCATGATTTGATTGCACATGCCAGAAGTAGGATGTTCCCTCTATTGATAGTCAACCAGATTTTTATACTTGGTTAGATCTTTGCATTCTTTGCACAGTCAAAAACTTTTGCTAAGGCTCAGTTTGGAAGGAGTACAAATACATAAGAAAGAATACAAAATATAAGGTTTTGCACTCTACATATTTGTATTTGTACTCTTTCCAAACTGAGCCTTAGAAGATATATGGCGTGGGTTATCAAACAATGATTGTTGCCTTGAAGGCACAGTTTTACACATTCTGTTGGTGGTTCTAAAGTTTCTAATCTATTATTTTCTGGAACTTTATTTGCTCCTTTCAATCCTCAAACCAACAACTGTGACTTGGTTAAAGAATATATAACAGATGGAAAATTCCAACAAGTGAAAATCACATTATTTTTTACTTCAAAAATGTCTGGAGGGGGTCTTCTGTTGTGCCTGTATCATGTCTACATGTACTATTTCCTCCAGTTAATTGGTGTATAGCTTTGGCCTAATTGGATCTTCTATTTGGTTTTCCAGGTGCAAAATCTTCTTCAGCAGATGGTGAGTTTCTTTCTTATTTAGTATGCTATTTCTATTTGCTATCCCCATAACCTGTATCCTCTGATTGTGCCTTTGTTATGGTTTTGCAGCAATCTAGGTTCCAGGCAATGTCTGATTCCATTATTACAAAGAATATCCTTTTTCCTTGGTTCAATATTGTGGATAGCCATGGTAGTTTCATGTGTAGAAATCTAGTACATTGGTACATGATAGCCGTACAACTTGTGTCAGTGTCAATCCGAACCCAACCTGGAAAAAGGTTGGGTAGCCGTACAACTTGTGTTAGGGTCGAGGCACTAGTCAACAACCTGACCCAACTGGAAGTCTAGACCTGATATGCTATATTTGTATTGACTTAAATATGTTAATATAGGTATGTATTTATGTATATATGCATGTCTATATAATATAAGAGGGTATGGGGTGGGTATTCTCTAAAATACTACTGCTATTGTATGGGTGGATGGTGGATGTGCATGCTTGTACACATGTTTTGAATTAGGTTCAAGTTTCAACCAAGCAAAATATCTGATCAGGCTGTATTATGATCGAAGACATTAATTTTTTTCTTTGTTGGGGGAGGGGGGTCATGGGGCTCTTCCCAATGGG